ATAGAGACCGAGGTCGATGGCATTTACCGTCAGATGTATGACGAGCAAACAACCATCGACGAAGTCATTGGGATGCTCCAGCGCCACAAGGAATCCAACAATCCTCGCGACCACGAAATTTTTGCCTGCATGTTGCATTTCCTTTTCGACGAGTACAAATTCTTCCAATCCTACTACCCCGCTCGCGAATTAGCCATGACCGCTTACCTTTTCGGGTCGCTGATTCAGCACCAACTCATCGACTATATTCCTTTGGGGATCGCCATACGATACATCATTGATGCTCTGAACTGCCCACCGGAGACCAACCTGTTTCGCTTTGGTGTAACCGCACTAGGCCGTTTTGAAGCACGCCTGTCAGAATGGCAGCCACTCTGCTCCCGCCTTCTCCGTATCCCTCATCTTTCCGAAGCGCGGCCTGATTTGTTCGCTAATATTCAGCGAGCTCTGGCCATCGCTGAAGACAGTAACAACACCACTGACCCTCGTAACGCCATTGCCCCCGAACCCACGCTAGTTTTCACTGCTATCCGACCTGATCCAATCATGGGCGACATCCACAACCCTCCCGAGGAGCTTTCCGACAAGATCCTCTTCATCATCAATAATCTCGCACCGACAAATTTCGATTCGAAGCTTTCCGAAATGAGGGAGCAGTTTGACGACCAATTCTCTCGTTGGTTCGCCAACTATCTGGTCGACCAACGAATCAGCACAGAACCTAACAACCACTCACTTTACCTCCGTTTCCTGGACGCGCTTGAGCGCCAGTCGTTATCTAAGCTGGTTCTTCAGGAAACATTCATCAAGTCGGCCGCGATGCTCAACTCTGAAAGGTCGATGCAGTCTGCAGCGGACCGCAACACACTCAAAAATGTCGCTGCATTCTTGGGCGCTCTCACTCTTGCACGTGATCGTCCAATCAAGCACAAGAACATCTCTTTCAAGGATTTATTGATCGAGGGCTACGACAGCGGTCGACTTATGGTCGCCATTCCCTTCGTTTGCAAGACGCTTGAGCCATGTGCCAAATCCAAAGTCTTCAAATTTCCTAATCCGTGGCTTATGGGTCTTCTTGCTTTATTGGTGGAGTTGTACCACTTTGCAGAGCTCAAATTGAACCTCAAGTTCGAAATTGAAGTTCTCTGCAAAGGACTCGAGATCCCGTTGGACACTGTGGAACCCTCGACAATTTTGAGAAGTCGGCCACTGACTGATGCCGGTCCACAACTTCCCGACTATGTTGGCGATATATCCTCCCTCCCCATTGATGACTACGCTTCAACTCATCCTTCAAGCGAGCCGCAGGTTATTGGACTAGGAGCTGCTACCGCCTCCGATCCTTCTCGGGCTGTAGGAGCGCACATCGAGTCAATCCTGTCCGCTCTAGCGTTGCATGTTCAAATCAGCCAGCAACTTGGCCCTCTGAGTGTAAACCACAGCTTCAAGCGAGCTGTTGCTCTCGCGGTCGACCGTGCAGTTCGTGAAATAATCGTTCCTGTCGTTGAACGGTCTGTCACCATTGCTGGCATCTCCACCCGGGAGCTGGTGACCAAAGACTTTGCAACAGAGACCAACGAAGAGAAACTCCGGAAGGCTGGACATTTAATGGCGCAAAAGCTTGCGGGAAGCCTTGCACTGGTCACGTGCAAAGAACCTCTCAAGAGTAACATGTCAACCCATGTTCGCCAGTTCTTGGTCGACAATGGATTCAATGAGGTGTGATTGATGACACCGTGATTAGAGGATACTGACCATTTTTTCAGGTTGCGTCTGACCAGGTGGTTGCCCTCTTAGTGCAAGACAATCTTGAAGTGGCCTGCAACGCAATCGAAAAAGCGGCCATGGAGCGAGCAGTCTCGGATGTGGACGAGGCCTTTGCGACTTCGTTCGAAGCTCGTCGTCGTCATCGCGAGGTAATTGTACCTTTTGTCTCTATTTGCACTCTTTCCTGACTGTTTTATGTGCATCGTAGTCCCGCAACACTCAAAGCTTCTGGGATCCTAATGCGGCGCCATCCAGTTTCTCCGTAACCCTGCCGGACCCGCTGCGCGTCAAGCCACACGGACTACAACTGCACCAGAGCGTTTATGAAGATTTTGGTTGGTTTTCAAATTTGTTGTGGTGCAACGAAGGGACTGATCGAGTCATAGGCATGGACAACAAACGTGGAAGCGTAGTTGGGGGCATTGTTTCAAGTCGGCCTAGTTCTACGACCTCATTCACGCCTGCGCTCTACCCCCCGTCGCCCGCGCCGGATGTCCCGTCCTACTTCAATCATCAAGATGCAATGGAGCGATTCGGTGTAAGTGTACATTCTTGAAAAGCTGATAGTATTCTCATCGAAACAGGTCTTAACTCGCGACTTGGAGGCCGTCATGTCACAACTTCCTGTTCAGTCACTCGCCAGCCTCCCTGCAAACCATGATTTGCGCCATCTTGTGCGGCAGGTGCTGATCCTGGCAGCCCAGTCTGCTGATCGATCACGAACTCCACTGTTGATGTCCCAGAAGATTGTGCAGTTGTTGTATAAAACTCCGTCTCAGCTTGGACGAGAGCTATATGTGGCTCTCCTGGAACAACTTTGTCAGGCGTTTGATGATGTCGCCAAGGAAGCCATCACGTGGCTTCTATACGCCGAAGACGAGGTTAGGAACTCACGATAGCGCAAGTTTGAGATTCTGATTCATCCACAGCGCAAGTTCAATGTTCCTGTCACCGTCACTTTGTTACGGAGTGGTTTGCTCAACATCGCCTTGCTCGACCAGCAATTGGCCAAGGTTCTTTTTACTGATGCCCGACCGTCACTCTTGAGCTATGTTTCCGCTCTCGTGCGCGAATGCTTGTCGAATGATCCCCCTGTTGCAACACAAACGCAGTTTCACTTCTCGATCGAAGTTTTGAACCAGCTGTCGCGTGATGGCAAGGCTAATGATGCGTCAGTCGATTTTTCTTCCAATAATGTTCTGGCGCTGAGCGACCGTAGTGCAAATAGGCTTCTTGACGATCTCCGCGGTGTTAGACGTACTGCTCCCGACAGCCAGCAGCGTCCCACAGCTCCAGTCGTCAAACCAGAAACAGAGCAGCTGCGAGAGCGCCTCTTCATCTGGTTCCAGCAATGGGTCAACATCTTCCAAAGATCACCTTCGCCCGAGAAGAACTTTGTGCCTTTCATCACTCAGCTCACCAAGCAAGGCATTCTCAAGGTTGAAGACGTGTCGTCTTTCTTTTTCCGTGTTTGCGCGGAGGCCAGTGTCAATAATTACGTCAAGTGCATCGCCAACGGTGACTTCGACTATGCTTTCCAAGCGCTGGATGCTATGTCGAGGCTGATCGTCTACATGATTAAATATCATGGCGATGCTTCTGGCGTAAACAACGACCAGGCCAAGGTCCATTATCTGACTAAAATCCTCTCCATATTTGTGCTTGTTTTGGCCAACATGCACGAAGAACAAGGTCCATCATTCCAGCAAAAACCGTTTTTCAGATTTTTCTCGAGTCTGATCAACGACCTGCAATCCCTCGAGTCCCATCTGGGGACCGTCTATTTCCAACTCCTGATCGCCATTAGGTATTTGGCAACTGTCAATAATTATTTCTGATGCTCACCACCCGCCCTTTCAAGTGACACTTTGAGCTCACTGCAGCCCACATACTTCCCGGGTTTTGCGTTCTCGTGGATGAGCCTCATATCGCACAGATCGTTCATGCCGAAGCTGCTCCTTTCCGACAACCGCGAGGTCGGCTATCTGCTACTTTTTTTCGTACCCCACTCTAATGCATCTCTCAGGGATGGTCTGCCTTCCACAAATTGCTGCTTTCGCTATTCAAGTTCCTCTCGCCATTCCTCAAAGATGCCAACCTCCAACTTGCGTTCAAAGACTTGTATCGCGGTGCTCTTCGACTCTTGCTCGTACTCTTGCACGACTTCCCAGAGTTCTTGAGTGAATATTACTTCAGCCTATGTGATGTGATACCTCCGCGATGCATTCAACTGCGCAACATCATCCTCAGTGCCTTCCCCCCCACCCTAATTCTACCCGACCCTCATATGGCATTTGAAAATATCCCCGAAATGGGCCCAATTCCTCCCATTTTGTCCGACTTTTCGACCGTCCTGAAAAATGCTAGCCTTGGCAATGATCTGGAGAATTACCTTCTCCATCGTGGGAATCCAGCCTTCCTACCATCCCTCAAAAGTCGTTTGAGGCTCTCAGGCGTATCTGACAATGCTCCAGATGGCTACAACCTTTCGCTCATCAACTCACTCGTGATGTATACCGGTGTTTCTTCAACTGCCCAGCTCAAGGCCCGCAATGGGTCTTTGGTCTTTGTTGCAAGTGACCCAGGTGTCGTGCTTCTCCAATATTTGACGACAAACCTGGACGATGAAGGTATTTTTCCAACAATCTTGTTCTATTGCCACGTGTTGATTATCTGTCCTTGTAGGCAATCACCATCTTCTGAGCGCCATGGTACTGCATCTGCGCTATCCCAACGCTCATACGCACTGGTTCAGCTCCTTGCTTCTCCACCTATTCGCAGAGGTCAAGGACGATCGGTTCAGGGAAATCATGACCAAGGTTCTTCTTGAGCGGTTCATTGTTCATCGACCACATCCATGGGGGGCCCTGGTCACCTTCATTGAGTTGCTGAGGAACTCCAAATATGACTTTTGGAGCAAGGACTTTGTTCGGATTGCACCAGAAGTTACCATGCTCCTTGAAAGTGTACGAGTGTTTTTCTGCCACTCCCTGACAAATGTGACTGACCACCCGTTCTTCCAGGTCGCTCGATCCATTTTCCCATAGAGTATTGTCGCTGTTTCATTGCTATCTCGTACCATTTATTATCGGGTTCTGCACATTGTACTCTTGTATCACTATATCCATTTTTCCCACTCCATTTTCAGGCTTTGACTCCGCTTCGGCACTAGTTGCAAGTTAAACTTTCTTCCCACCACTACTAACCAGATTGGTTCTGCGTCGCTCTGCCTCATGGTGGATCACTCCGGTGCTTTCTAGGGTGCTCTCGCCCAGACCTCGTATTGCCCGAGTTGTTATAAACCAAGTCGGTTTTTGGGACGAGTTCCGAGAACTAACCACTCACCCGAGCTATTAGAATGTCAATCTTACTGGCAGAAAACAGTCTTTATGTGACTACTACTCAACTCTCCGAAGCTGCTCGATTTCACTGGGCGCTCGTTCAAACGGACGATAGTTGTGTCGCAACGAGACACCATTGGCACCAAATACCGCCCAATGCGGCTTCAACCGCGATAGAGGGCTACGGGTCCCAGATTGTCCAGCCAAAGTCGCTGACAGGACACGTAGTGTTGGGCTATTATAAAATTTCCGACTTTTCCCCCCCAGCTCCCAACATCTTCCAAGAAATCTGTGCAGCGACTTTTATAACGAGCTATACGACCGTCTGCGAGAATAGACGGCGCGGCATTACCTGCCGTACCTTCGTCCTCAGCGTCTTGTCTGAGCTGTGTGCCCGTGGTCACATTGCGTGGCAGAAAGCGTCGAGCATATCCAGCTTTGTGGAAAGCTTGGAAAGGGTCATTCGAGATCACAGCATCCGCGCTGACTGCTCGTATTTGACGCGGTTTTACAAGGAGCGCATCCTGACGTGGGCTTCGCCAGTAATGGTGGTATGACGGTGAGGGACTTTCGACTAGTACACACATGTCGACTGACTTTGGCCCCAGATAACTGATTGTGGCTCAACTCTGTCCTGATCATTTTTTATTAGGGTATTATTGCGAGGGCTCTGCAGTCAGCGGTGGCAGCACACTCAATATAGCCACGAGGCCACGTCGTTATAGCTCCAGTTATTTCCGTACACCCTACGAGAAGCATTATTACACGCTAGATGCATTCCGGGGGTGCTTTACTTACCCTGCGCCAATGATGCCGCCCGCACCCATCTGATCTGCTCGACTACTGATGACAAGCCAGTCGGGGACGGTAACCCCTGTTCGGATCGGAAACAATTTTCCAGCGCGCTCTAATCCTGCGTCATCTGTACACAGCAAGAATAGCATCTGTCCCTTTGGATCTTGAGGGTGAGGGTGAAGGAATAGAATGCCTTGGATGCGTCATAAAAGAGGTAACGTTTACAGGAAGACTATAATCACCTAAACCTGGCTCATCAAACACAGCTTCTCGCAGGGCGAGATGCTTGTTTTCTATTTTGAACGGGGTTCGTTGATCTCGGAGAAGCTCGGCAAGCCGGGGGTCACTGGTATGGGCAATCACCAGAATATTTCCTTCCTGTGCGATGTCGGTGGGGCCAACGTGGATCTCAGAATCAAGTCGATGGTATGTGTTCAGATCATGAGCGATCCGCAAAGCGAGAGACAGGTGCTGCGTGTTTGAACCGTCTAGTACGAGCAGATGATAAGGTGCCTTCGATGTCAGGAAGGACTGCATCCGGCCCGAGGGTTGTGGGCCAGCACCCTCGATTGCGTCGGCAAGCTGGAAGTATTCTTAGAAGTGGGGGCACTCAGAGACTGTCTCTACTAGTACCTTCCAGGACTTGCGGTTAAGCCTTTCAAATGTAGCAGTAACGAGATCCGGCGCGATATGAAGCAGTGGCGAATTATCGATCACGATTGTGCTCAAGTTCCATTTGCCCGAGGCAATAGAGAAACGTTGGACATTGGTCGAGGACACTTGCAGTTGGCCATTAGCACTGACATGGACCGTCAATCTCGCTAGTCTCCAGGAATTTTAGGTGTCATCAGTTATCCAGGTCAAGCAACTAACCTGCCAGGAGTAGTCAGACACTCGATCGTGAAGCCATGTAGAGATCCACTCTCAGTAGGGATTGCTACCGTCAAGGTAAAAGTGTTTGGTGGTGCACGTGACTGAGACGAGAATACTTGATCGATGAAAGACTGCACCCGGTCGTTCTGAGGAACGAATGGTCAGTGACAAAGCGCGAAGAACAGGCCAAAACTGACTATCATGATGTCCGGATACCAATGAGGCATTCCAGGATCCTCTCTGAACCTGTGGTTTCGATGGGTAAGGGTTTCCCCAGTAGTGATAAAGAGCTACTATACGTTGCATTTACTCCGCTGTCCCATGTCTTGAGGACACTTAGAGTCTCGCGTGAGTGCCAGACTGGTACATTATCGTCGGCGCCACTGCAGAAGTAAGTTGGAGGGTGAATAGCGTTGAAATCATGAATAGCTTGTTCACACACCCATGCAGCGCAAGAATTGGGGTATCGACGAGATTGGAGAGGAAAAGGTCGTTATCATCCGGGGTCAACGAGGTTTCCAAGATGGCACGAACGGCGGGATCGATGAAGTGAGCTGATCTGTTGCAAGTCAAAATGGTTCACGATACCAAACTTAGGTTTACCGCGACATAGTCAGTGGGACGTAGGCTTGAGACTTGATATATGCGGCTTGCGGAATCACTGCACTGATTGAGCGAGCATTCCAAGATAGACATGCTCTGACCTCCAATGACTCTGTCAGGGAAGCGCGAAGCCAGATACCAGGACCCTTGTCCACCATTGGAATGGCCTAGCAATAGAACGGGTGTTCCATATTCTAAAGCCATTGAGGGTTTACTTGACCGAAGAATTGAAACCAGAGAATCAACACACGCCCATGCTTCTAATGCACTGGGGCCGTGCCAATCCAAACCCTGCCCGGAGTAAGCCAAGGTTAAGAGAGGAGAGAGGACCAAAGTCGTAGTACCCATGCCGTGCGGCCAGAAGGGGCAACGATCCATCTGTCTTGCTGACGCGGAAGTGCCTCCGCCCAGAAAGAGTTTGATACGATGTCCACACCAGCACCATGTAAGGCCAGGATTGGCGGCCCGCTGCTCTCCGATATCGGCGAAATAGCCGTGAAAATCATCGGCACACCAGCGGCGAAATGAGACGCAAAAATGAAAGCAGCATCAGAAGTAAGCTGATTCACGGCGAGAGTAACAGCAACTTCTATTTCCCGTCCTTCATTTGAAGCAACGACGAGCGTGATATTTAATGTCGAGTCAGGATATTCCGCTGTTTGAAGAACCCGCAAAGGCACGATGCGAGATTGTGAAGGAGCCAGGACCACTTTCCGCGTAAGCTCGAGGGAGAAATTCTCCGCCTTGGCAGAAAGCACGGTCCACCAGCCTCCTACACTGTGCAGCCCCACACCGAGAGCATCACCAAACGCATGTCCGTCGATAAAGTCACAAATAACGTTTTGCGAAGGCTCCAAGTGCACATTGGGTGTGACAGCTTCAATGTCAATTGTCAATTTGATATCTTGTGTGGGGGGGATGGTCTTTGGGGCCTCCAAAGAGTCGAATCTATGATGGGCTCAGAGTCAACACTTTTAAATGGAAGCACAACATGCCTCGTAGTCTCCGCTTACGAAGAGATGATATGTTGTCGGAGAAGTGACTGAAGGTGCAGATGGAAATTCTATGGCTCGTGGCAAGGTTCTGTCCATTGCATAGATATTGCCGGCGTGCCATTGGGGAATCGTTGAGAACTTGGAGTCGAGAATAGTGACATAAGCGCCTTGGATCAGCTGCAAAATCAAACGAGGAGGTGCAGTATTCGTGACTCCAATTGGAGGGTAAGCCGTCAAGGTCGTGTGGAGAACAGCGTGGTGTTGTAAAGCGCTCCAACCTTCCGTCGCACGAAGCTCAGACCAACTGTAATAAGTAAACAACGGAGTATATATCACAACATTGCACCTACCGAATATCTGGGAAGCTTATAGCGAGATTACCCTCGGCGGAGGCCTCCGCTGTTGACCATCCAACAGTCCCGTTGTCTGCATATGCCGAAGGGTATGTTTTCTCTAAGTCAAGAGGCTCCGAGATATTGATGGGAAAAGATGGCGAAAGGAAATGTTGTTCGCGGGCGTGAATTGGAAACGGTCCAAGGACATCCCATGTGCGAGACAATTCCAGAGTCCAAGAGGCTTTCTCAGTCGTGAGAGTGGTTTGAATGTCAAGGTCAATGTTCATGGCGGCGACGACAGACAAGAGCAAGACCAGAGTGAGCATCTGGATCCAGATGAGGCCTCTCCGGCCGAAGGCTTAGTAAAGCCCAATGCCTGAGTATGCAGGTCTTTTGAGGACAAGCACTGGACAAGCTCTGTGACGAGAAGTATATGTATCGTGACTGTAAGTGAGCAACTTCACCACGATGTCTGGTCGGCAAGGAGGCAAACTTAAACCTTTGAAGGTCAGTTGCTAGCGTGCTTATGGGATGGAATGGTGTCTCACACAAAAGGGAAAATAGGCTGCGAAGAAAGAGAAAAAAGAGGCCGATGAAGATGATCTTGCCTTCAAGGCCAAGCAGAAAGCCGATGCCGAAGCTCTCAAGGCTGCACAGGCCAAAGGTGAGCTATTTGGTTAATGGATCTGCGAGGCTAACGCCTGGATATAGCGGTCAAGGGTGAGTTATGAATTCTTTTGGAGAGTTTGCCATAAACATACGTCAGCTGGGCCAATGGGTGGTGCTGGTATCAAGAAGTGGGTGAATACGGCTTTTATAACTCGAATCTCATTGAATTGTAGGTCTGGCAAGAAGTAAGAATGCAGGGAATCGTAGTAGAGTTTTTGCCATATTGTACATCACAAAGCATTTGTCTCTTGCCTTCTTCACGCATGTTGCCGGGTCTTCAACCGAACCCGAATCCCCAGCAGCAGGGCCCTCCCCAACCTCAACTCCAACAAAACCAAATACCTCCCCCTCCGTTTCAGAGCGGCCAGGACTGGAATCTCTCAAGTGTTCTCCACTATCTCCAAACTGAATGGCGCAAGTATGAACGCGACAGAAACGAGTGGGAAATTGAGCGCGCTGAGATGCGGGTACGCCTACGGCCTCGTTGCCGCTTGTTTGGCGCGTGCTGACTGCCAGCCAGGCTCGAATTGCCCTCTTGGAAGGTGAACGTCGCTCGTTTGAGAATGTCAAGCTCGACCTCATGCGACGAATAAAAATGCTTGAATATGCGCTCCGTATGGAACGGTGCGTGGCAAGAACCAGCCATAATATCCTCCTTCTGACCGTGTTGCAGTTCAAAGCAACTCACACAACCTCCAGCAACCTCTCAGCCGCCGCCAGCGAAATTAGCTGCCATCCAAGCACTTACCTCTCAAAAAGACGAGTCAAGTAGCCACAAAGAAGATAGTAGTGGCAGCTCTCCTCGCAGCGAAGGTTGGCTTCTTGTGGTTGACCTGCAACTTTTTGCTCATGTGCTGTCGTAGATTCACCACTCCCAGATGGGCGTGTCAATGGTGTCGCTTCTGCTGTAGGGAGACCAATGTCATGGGGAGGCTCGAATTGGCCTAATGGACCGTTGGCTGGGACTGTAGCTGGATTAGGGAAACCACCTCCAGGTCGCGACCCAAAAAGCCGAGCACGCAGTCGCGATTACCTCAAACAGTGCGCGTTTCCTCTCGGTCAACTCCCTGTACTGAACTCTTATTACCTCAAGATGTCTTCAGGAAGTCTCGTATCTTACTTCCCCCCAGGCCATGAACCCGCTTCCGAACAGACCACTGCTCAATAACGGCAATATGCCGCTCACTCTTCCCAATGCGCCGTCGTTTGAACAGATGGCTTTCAATGGACGCCCCCGCAAGCATTTACCCGACACTGGCAAAGAGTTTCCGATGTTAAACGGAAATATGAACCTTATGTCAGGTCCATCCTCTGCCCCAGCTGCAGCTGGCCCACAAATGCACAATCTGGAAAGGAGTAACCCAATCAATCCTGGACTCTTACAGCTTCAACACATGCAACAACCACCTCAACAATCCTCACCCAACATGTCTATGATGCAGCAAAACATTGTGCCTTCACAAACGCCACCTCCTAATTCGGACCGGGACAGAGACGGCGACGAACCCCGGCAACTCACGGCAATTTTCCGGCCAGACGACGCTGGAGAATGGAAAGAGAAGCTACGATTGTCACACGAGGCGTCAGAGCAGGCTCGGTTTGCCCGAGAAAGTCAACAAGGTTGGGATCGAAGAACTGAAGATGACGACGGAAAAGAAGACGAAGGAGAACTCGAAGACGATGAAACCAACGTCGTTACGGGCGAGGGCGAGGGCAGCAAAGTGTGGCGACCAAAGCGGACACTAAGAAAGTGCGTTTATTAGCAGTCATGTTTACTGTTTGAGTTCTCACCCTCGAGCAGCCATTTGGACGCTGTTCGAGCCCTTGCTTTCCATCCTCACGAGTTGTCGCTTGCAACTGGTGGAGATGATTGTACTGTTAAAATTTGGCGGATGGATGTGGCTGGTGTCGCTTCCTCTGCGTGAGTAATCTGCTTTTATATCTTGTTCTTCGTTCTCATAGGCTTAGATCACGTCCAACAACGGAGATTGAGCCTCAACTTACTCTCCGGGGCCATTCAGCTGCTATCACCCGGCTCATCCATGCTCCTTCCAAAGGACTGCTATATTCAGCCTCGCTTGACTCGTCAATTCGTGTATGGGCATTGCCAGCGCCGTCACATACAACTTACGCACCCTACGACGAGACTCGAGCCCGTGGTGAACTCATTGGACACACCGATGCTGTCTGGGATCTAGCTCTCGTTCGTGACGAAAACACTCTGATTAGCGGTGGCGCAGAGGGAGCCGTTAAGGTCTGGGATGTCAGTGGTCTTTCTGGTGGCGGGTCACTGAAGCTCACATGGGGATGGGCTGGGCTGGAAACGTCTGAAGATATGCATGACGATTTGGATGCTCCTGGTGCTACAGCGGTCGAGGCACTTAAAAGTGACCTTAAAAAGGTCGCTGTAGCTTATCAGAACGCCGTCGTGAAGATTTTCGACATTGAGAATGGCAAGGAGCTGACGCGGTTACCAACTGATATTAGTTATGGTACGCCGACACACCCTTTTCTTACCTCTTCTGATTCATTTTCTTCTGCTAGATGGCACGCCAGCCACACAGATCAACCGTATTGTGTCGCACCCCACCATGTCTCTGCTCGTCACTGCCCATGAAGACAAGTACATTCGGATATTCGACATTGTCACAGGTTCGTGAACCTTGTCTCTCTGAAAGGAAGAATATAACGTTAGATCAGGACAATGCACGCATTCAATGTTGGCTCATTTGGATGGTGTTACCTCGCTTTCCATTGACCCCGCTGGCTTCTCGTTGGTATCCGGCAGCCATGACTGCTCTGTCCGGTTCTGGGACTTGCTGGATTCCCATCAATGCGTGCAAGAGGTTACCACACATCGAGAAAAGGCGCGTGAAGGCGTGTTAGACACCGAGTTCCACCCTTCGCTTCCGTTCATGGCTAGCGCTGGTGCCGATGGTGTGGTGAAGCTATATGCTTCTTCGTAGTCGCTTTGGTTTTTGCTTTTCAACTAGATTGCTCTTTCTTTGTACCCACCCATGTTCTTAACGACTGTTTACGCCGCAATTCATACCTGGAAAAAAACGTCCACTAATCAAACAATTCACAAAGCATGCTATAGCTACAGGAGGACTACTGATACACTGGAGTAATAGAAAGCTGACTCAGATTTCTGTTGGGTTGGTTCTGGTCAGTAAGACGGTGCAAAGAGCGCCACGTACGGACACGCATTCCTTGACGGGCTGCGATGATTTCCACTCCTAATTCCTTTGGCTCCAACAAGGCCTTTATCTCTTCCATTATAAGTGTCTGGTTGGGCCGATCAGGTGCACCATTGAGCGTGTCTTTGCAATGGGTCACAAATACCCGCAGACCAGTCAAAGATCCTCGCAAATCGACTGGCGCCGGATCCAAACGCTGCTTTTTCCGTTTTGGCCGAACGAGGCTTGAGGAGGTACGAGTCGAATTTCGCACCTTGACGATCTCTGCAGCACGTGAAATGGGTACACGGGGATCTGCTTTGCTTACCACTCGCAAGTGTTTCAAGTTCATGAACTAGGTGGACAGGACTCAGGTGTCCATAGAGCGTATCGTCGCTGCGGGAGGACGGCCAGGAGCACTCGATGAATATTGTTTGAAGCGTGGCAGGGATTTTAGGAGCGGCAGCACGCCAAACATTAATAGTCTTAGGAGAGCGGGAAACCAGATCGGGTTCAACGTCGCCGAAAAACAGAAATTCATGGCCAGTGGGGTTGTGGCGAATGAAGAAAGCAGCGGAATCGTAGTCCCCTCGCTCATTGTGGCCATGGGAGACAGGAAAGTAGCGCACAGAGACGCCAGGGATAATTTGCTCGTAGAGGTCCCGCGTCCCAATCCTATGCCAAGTAAAAAAAAAACACAGTGGAATTCGAAGAGGCTCATACTGACACCGTGTAGAGCAGCTTATAGTCTCCGTCGTCCTTATCCCACGAAGCCAGGTTTGGCCAAATTCGATCGGCGAAAACACTTTCGAGATCCTGAAGCGTTTGTCGCGACGCATAGACACGTTTGCGGGGGCCGGAAAGCGTGCCAGCAGATAGCACTAACCCATTTACGTGGTCGAGATGGGCGTGGGTGACGAGGAAGCAATGCACATATGAGTAGACCTCGAGAGCCGATGTCGAGTTGAACAGACGGGAATCGTTGTTGATGAGCTTTTGGAGTGCACCAAGACCCGAACCCGCTTCGAGAGCAATTATTCCGTCCTTCCAGTCCTTGTCTGAGGGCTTCAAAAGATAGCTGGATGGCAGCGTTAGGAAACACACGACGCGTAAAAGTTAGTGGCTCCTACCCTGATAAGTTGGTTTCATCGGGCCCACCGCCTTCCCCGACGACGACAAGGTCGAACATGAACAACGGGGACGCGTAGACAGGCGCGATGCTGGATGAACAGAGTGACCCGATGTTATAAGGCTGGGTTGATGGCTGTGATGATCGACGGCGACAGCTAACATGACTCTCAATGACACGGGACTTTGTTCCAATTCTGTCCAATCATGACTGCGCGCATGATTCGTAATGAGATAAATGGAGGACAAAGGAAAAAAAAAAAAGATGAACTAAATCAGAAAATGGAAAAAGACATGACTGTCTTCCACTGACGAAGGCCAAACAGGACAAAACAAAGGAACTGGCGTGGATCGAACACGCGACCTCACGATAACCAAGAGCTGGTTGCAATCGTATGCTCTAAGCCACTGAGCTACAGTTCTTGTGTTGCGTTCCACAATTGTGAGGTATGGCTTACCCCGTGTCTATTTGAGCTACGTCAGCCGAAAGTCTCTTTCAATCAATACATGGAAGTTGAGCAACAACATTGTTTGCTTGGTATACACTAAGCACATTAAAAGATCTAATAAAAATGAGTCATGGTGTAGTTTTTGAGAAGTATGCACACAGACACCGGAAGTTCCACCTCCTGGCGCTTGCCGAACTCTGTCTCATTGTCGGAGAATGCCCTGGCCTAGGGAAAAGATTCCATACCTGCGGGTTGGTTTGAATTCTTCGGGTTCGTCTCCCCAGAATGAGTTCACGCTGCTATTACCGCCTGGACCCTCTCGCACACGTCTGGCCCGTATTGATCAGGCTGATTTAGAAACTGGAGGGAATCATAAAGGCTCACCGTGTGGGTTTGAAGCCTGAGGCGGCTGTTGGTTGTTCAGCGGTTGCAGTATCTGCAACAACTGGCTGTTGTTTGGGCGGAGCCGAAGCAAGGGCATCGACTTCATCGTCGTCACCAAAGATGTTACTGCGAGCGCCACCAGGGAGTTCTCGGACCCGACGAGTTGGTTTGAATTCAGCCGACTCGGTAGGAGGTACTGAAGTAGGAACATCTTCTTCGTCTTCATCGCCAAAAATGTTGCTTCGAGCGCCACCGGGGAGTTCCCTGACACGACGAGTCGGTTTGAATTCCGTCGATTCAGTCGCCGACTCTTTGGGCGGCGCCAAAGCAAGAGCGTCTACAACGTCATCGTCCCCAAAGATATTGCTACGAGCCCCGCCTGGAGGATCTCGGACACGGCGTGTTGGCTTGAAATCGTCCGACGATTGTGAGGAAGTAACCGAAGTTGTTGAGGTTTGCTCTGTGTTGGGCAATGGATGGGGAAAACGCTGATATGCAGGAATTTACCGGATGCTTTAGTGACTCCGGCAGGCCCTTCAGTGAGCTTGCCAAATTTCGCATAACCTAAGAAACGCGTTGATCGGCAAGCCGAGTGGGTAGACTCGGACAGTCCTCACGAGGTAACTTTTGAATGTTTGAGAAGTTGGTGTCTACCGTGGTGCCCGTATATTTAAGAAACTCGATCAAAGAGCGTTTAGTGAAGACGATCTGGGTTCTGCGCTGCCATTAAACAAAAACCAATCGCATGAGGGTAAGCCACCCACGTATCCCAGTCCAAGATACCCAGATTCGCAGCCCAATCTTTCTCACTTGCCATATTTATCGGCGAAGTCGGATTGAATCTGTTTAATAAGAAAGCATTAACGCGAACTAAGCGGGAAACGCACGTAGACATGGTTGTCAATGAGCGCATTAATGAGCAGTCACGGTGCGCGTCTCGGTCACATCCGTCACACTGGCATTCCATGCTGCGTGGTCGCGTCCAAGCTTCAGCAGTCTATTTGAACAAAGCCAGCTCAACTCTTCCCTCCGTGTCCACCACTCCGGCTCTCTCGCATGCGCAAAGAGAGAAACTGGATAGCGCGTTGCGCGTCGACCAAGCAGGCGAAATCGCGGCCAACTACATCTATATGGGCCAAATGATGATTTTAGGGAGAAACCCCGCATTAAAGCCACTTATCCAGGTTACTTATTATTATTGGTGTCGAAGCAAGGCTCAATGATATCTAGGACATGTGGGAACAAGAGAAGAAACATCTTCAAGTTATGGACAAGCTTCAGCTCCAACACCGCGTGCGCCCGACACTCTTCACTGAAGTCGCCAAGGTAGCAGGCTTCGGTTTGGGTGCTGCGACGGCCCTGATGGGGAAGGAGGCAGCAATGGCATGCACTGAGGCTGTTGAAACTGTGATTGGAGAGCACTATGACGAGTGAGTGTTGTTCATTGGTGTACTGGATGACCGACTCGTAGGCCAGTCAACTGAAAGAAATGGAATCGCTTCCCTCTGGCGATCCAAGCGTAGCACTGTTGCGAGATGTGATTCGAGAGTTTCGAGATGACGAGTTGGAGCATCTGGATATTGCGGTTGACCACAACGCTCAACGGGCCCCGGCTCACGCGCTTTTAAGCAGTGTCATTGGGGCAGGTTGCAAGGTTGCGATAGAATTGTGCAAAAGAGTCTAAGATTTCGATAATGACTCGCCCTTCTTCTTTCCAGTCCAATCCCACTTGTTCTGAGAAGGTATTAGTCGGCCCAGTAAGTGGGAACTGGAAATATACCGTTGACGCGCTGATGGTCAAATAAAGACCAAACGGTATGATAATGGCCCCCCAAAATGTTGTTCGCAGTGTTCTGGATGTCCAACGAAAGTGTCGGAATTGCTCCTCACGCTTAACGACGAATTAGCCATATCTTAGACAACGGGAAGACGAACCATAAAAGACTGGCGTTCTATGGCCGCATCCTGGACCTTTACATGGGCTGTAAAGACTGAGTGAGCTGAGTAGCTGCGTTCCGATACGAACCGTGGTCAGTCATGTGTGGATTTGAGAGTTGTGTGATTGTGACCTGATGTGACACTGCGCCACTCTCCTGACCTCCATGGCTTACCATCGCGAATGGGACCAGGGCAAACCATCTTGTGCGTTGCATGCCATAAAACCAAACCAATAGCTCAACTTGGCTCAGATGACGACCACTATGCTGACAGCAAACGCCGAAAATTTAATTCTGGGGTTCTTATACTTGTCTCTCAACCCCATTAATGATCACTCTGACTCCGTTCAGGGTTATGAAGCGTCTCAAGCTTACACCGACTACGACAACGGAGCAGGGGCGTCTTTTCCGAAAAAGCGCCTCCAACCCTCGGAACCCAGTCCACATGTCATCTTCCTTGGACTGGATCCTGACTTCAACGAAGCTGATGTATTTGTTCATTGCTTCATTATATTCTCATCATGCTCAAATTTCTCGTAGCTGCAAAAGTATCTCGTCTCACTTGGCTGTAGCATCGAGTCTGTCACAATTATCCGCGAGAGAACATCAGGCACTTGCTCATTCGTATTCCATCGTGTGGACCTCTATTGACGTTATGCGCACTTGCAAGGTGCCTCCAAGGGCTTTGGATTCGCTTGCTTTTCCTCCATCGAACACGCGCGGACTTTTGTCGACCCACGATTCCCTTTTGTTCAAATACCGCCTCCCGCCTCACATGGAGCCACTGCCACTGCAACTTTCTATAAGGCGATTGAGAGTGGTGTTCCTCACAATGGTCGTCGAGTCAAAATCGATTTCTCACAAAGCGTCAACCCAAGCGACAGAGGGAAAGGAAACAGGGCAAACGCAAACGACGGAACTCGTGACATTGGCAGTGCACCAGCGGCCGTTCTACTTTTCCGTGGACTGGACCCTCTTTCCGGTCCTCAGGCGATTTATCAAGCTATGCTTTCATCCTCAGGACCGGGAAAAATCGGTGCCAAGGGCATGAAACGAATCATATTGATCAAAGACAAGACGACTTTGGCCAGTTTGGGTTTCGCCTTCGTCGAGTTTGTGGATATTCAGGTGCCCTACGCTCCGTATACCGTATTTTCTTCCTCTCATACAGTTTTAGGCGGCAAGCACTGTCCTCGGTGCAACGATGTCGCCTCAAATCCATCCATCCGGCTTTCGAATTTCCGACCGACCTGTCGCTGTTTCGTTCGCTCATCCATACTCATTTCAACCTATTGCAGACCTGATGATCCGCGACGACGCCTGCATAGCTGGGTCAACAAGTCTCGGCGGAGAGGACAACACATTGGTCAGGTATTGGGACGAGACATCAACGATTGCCCATTTGGAGTTTGAAGTCGAGGAATCTACTCAGCCCACCGCGGCCACTGCGACAACCAAGGACAAAAAAGAAAAGAAGAAGCACCGAGGTACTCACTTATTTCTTTGTCATCCTCACAAGTTGACTTGACCAGATACGGAGGTTGTCCAGGATATGCCGGCGGCTGCATCTGCGTTACCAGTTTCCGACAAACCTGTTACCCTAAGCTTCAACAAAGGTCTTGGGCGGGCAGGTCCTGGTATGTTGGTTGCTGATCCAAAGATTTCCAGTTGACCCGCTCGACAGTTCCTGCTAAGCCTGTTAACCCGGCGTTTTCCCTCGATGACGGTGGTATCGATAATGAAGTAGAAGAGGAGCGTGCCAAAGGTTTGCGTTCCTTGGGTTCAAGGGAAGAGCTAACAATTTCGCAGGCTCTGCACGAGTTGTTCCTCTAATGGCGAGCAAGAAGGTCGGTTCGGTTGATCGCAATATGTACATCATACTGATATGGGATTTCCAGACGGCAACCAACATCAACAAATGGAATCAAGTCCAAGAAGAGCTGAAAGATTCTGCCCCTCAAACAACCTCTTCTCTGGTGACCTTCTTTTGGCTATACCTCCCGAAAATCTGGGTTACTCTGGTTCTGAATGCTCACCGTCTATGCAGGCGCCTGTTAAGAAGAGTGAACCTGTTGCTTCCATGGTGGTCGATACCCAGCCTCCAGAGGACGACTTCGAGTTTTCCGATCTCGATGCGTTGACCTGTCTCCTCTGTGCGCGACAGTTCAAAGGTGCCGATCAATTGGGGCGGCACAATAAAGAATCTGGACTTCATAAGGCTCGCATCTATGCTGCTATGTTTTCTTATTGGCGAGACTGGGCTAACGCAACTTTCCGGCATGCTCTGCTACCCACAGAAAAACCTCAAGGACGCAAATCTTCGCGATGTTGCACGACAGAAGGTCGCCACACGAAAGGCCGCAAGTGGGTCGGAACAGCCGAAATATAGAGACCGAGCCTCTGAACGACGAGTGCTCTTCAATCAACCCGAAGTTCCTGTCCCAGAGAAAGACAACAACAAAACGGGCACTCGAAAGCGACAAGCAGATGGCCCACCGCCGCCGCCTTCTCCTCCACCAGCGCCTGTCAATCCAGGCCAGGATGACAGCAATGTCGGCAACAAACTGCTCAAGATGATGGGCTGGACCGAAGGCACAGGCCTAGGAACTAGTGGCGAAGGCCGCGTAGACCCAATGTAAATATTCTGTTTTCGTGTCCATCAGTTACTGAGAAAACTTCCCAGATCTGCCGCAGTTTACGCTCAGGGAGTTGGTCTGGGTGCTATGAAAGGGAAGGATATTACGACGATCACCTCGGTACGTCGACTGGGTCATTCCCTGTGCGGTCGCCCTGTTCTCAACGTCTTCACTATCAGGGTAATCGACGGTAGTATTCGCTTATGTAATTTTTTTTTGATGTAACAGAATGTGACTCCTCATATTGCATCTATTTTTATTCGCTCAGGATGAGGATGTGGCACGCGTCAGACTCACGAGTTTCACACAACGACACGATGATTTTCTCATCTTCTCCCCGCTTTGTGTGTCACCGATGACGAAGTTGAAGTGCGCTCCACAAACGCGTCGACCGTATATGAATGAGCTGGTTGCAAGAAGTCCACTTTCAACGCAATGCCCCACCAGAAAGCCAACCAGAAATTCCGTTTCGGATCTTGGATTCGACTTCACGGTGTCGACCTCATTACCATGGCCCTGATGGGCGCCCTTGGCCTTGGGATCTATGAGGTGCTATCGTCAATGTTTTTGGAGTGAAACACTAAAATTCGTTCAGGCTCCTCCTGCTCCGAGCAGGTCATTTCCTGTCTACTTTCAGGACGGACAAGTGGTCTATCCACAATTCGCGTACGATTTTGCAGTATTTGTCGGTGACTGAAGCTGATGCTCTGCTACCAGATACCCAATGCGTAAAGAAATTGTGCCCATTGTCGCTGCAGCGTTGATAGCGTTCTTTGTGCCATTTTTCTTTTTCTGTCTGTTCCAACTTCGACGCCGAAGTCTCGAGGACCTGTGCACAACAACGCTTGGGCTATTGAAGAGTCTTATCACTGCCGCAGTGTTCCAAGTAAGGGTGCTTTTTCTTCTAATGCCAATTTTCCTCAAACGCGACTTGTAGGTATGGGTGAAATGGTTGATTGGTGGCTTGCGACCCCATTTCCTTGTTGCGTGTATGCCCAACATACAACCTGGGGCTGCACCTTCTGGGAATGGCTTTGCGTCGATTATGTACGACCGGAGTATCTGCACAGGCGATGAAAAGACGATCAACGACTCGCTCGAGTCCATGCCATCAGGACATTCAACAGCCGGTACTTACTGCTTCACCTCCCTTCCACAACGAGACTGACGAGCCTGATAAAAGCTTGGGCTGGCTTATTCTATCTTTCCTTATACTTCAATGCTCAATTGAAGGTCATGAGCGCGCATAACTCGGCATATTGGAAGATGATACTCATGTTCTGCCCTCTTCTTGGAGCAACCTTGATTTCAGGGGCTTTGACGATTGACGAATGTGGGTTAGAATTGTTGAGGCTTGAATTCTACTTACAGGTGACTCAGTTCACAACTGGTATGATGTGCTTGCTGGAGCTATCATCGGTATCAGCACGGCGATAGTCGCCTTTCGCTCAACTTTTGCCGCTGTCACCGACTTCAGGTAAAACTGAGCCTCTGTTGATAGTGTCAATTTCTGACCGTCCACTGCACAGGTACAATCACATAGCTCTTCCTCGAGCAACTTCACTGTTCCATCGCCATGGCGCTGGTGATATAATGCCTTTCTTCGATTATTCGCGACAGGCAGAATATTCGTCTCATCAACTACCTTTCACAAGAGAGGGAGGCTGGGGGTTGGGTGGTGCAGAGGGAGTTGTTGGCGCACCTGGTGATGCTACTGCGTTAGGTCTGGGCGGTGGGGCAGCAACAAATGGAGCTCGTGTACAGAATGGCGATAATATGGTGTAAAAAATGTACTAACCCATCTAATTGTAACTACTCGTGATCGTGACCATATTCTCTTGATCTCATCTCTCGACCAAGTTCGAGTCGCGTCTTTCCCTATTCATGGACAGCCTGTTTGGCAGGAAGAGACACAAGTCTCGGGTGCCCTCAGGCGACTTGGGGGATCGTTCGGTTCCGTATGACCGACTGGGCCCAGCGCCAAAGTCTCCCAACCGACCTCCAAACTCAGCCTTCATTTCAGCACCAATCACCAACCCAACGCTCACTACCAATGGGACCGAACTCAACAAGTATGCGATGCAGCGCTCTAAACAAGAACGCGACAAGGCCTACGACGCGTTTACAGCCTCCTCCGCTTCCTCCATATCCGACTCTTCTTCAACGCTCTACACCGACTCGTTTGCTTCATCGTCCAACTCCCGGACATCTTTTACCTCATCATCTGGCCTGCGCTCTCCAGCAATGTCAGACTTTGGCCAATTCCCTCCGCCCACTCCAAATAGCGCCGTTGGGTTCCCCTCATCACCTGGCTTTTCTTCAGCCTTCCCCCAATCGCCGTCGGCTGCAACGATGCGTCCAGTGTCAGCCATGACTACTCGTTCAAATGAAAATAGGTCCTCCAAATACGCTCCCTCATTCACATACTCCGAAGGCTCGCATATACCCCATTTCCATCTCCACAGACACGCAAACGGGTCAGACGATTTCAACTTCCCTCGTCCAGAGACGGATGACGAAATCGAGGCGCTATTCGAGAACGTCAAGCGCACCCGCGACCTGGGCGACATGCCCAACCTCCCCATCGAGCAAAAGTGGCACATGGTGTACAACGACTATCACATACGGTGGAAAGAGGAAAAGGCTAGGGAAGACCAAGCCCGCCGACAGGTGGATTCGGGTCAGCCTGCGCCCATAATGCACGAGTCGCCTGAGTGGTTCATCCGCAAGTTTCTTGACAAGACCATTACACCCAAACAAGCAAGTAGTCTATTGGTATCGTTACGGAGTAAAGAGTTGAGGTGTGTGGACTATCGTATGCTGACGACGTAGATCTAACTCGCCACAGCTGGTTTCGACAATTTATCTCCCTGCGCGGAACATCTGTGCTTGCTCAGACCCTAACCCATATCAGTCGGAAACGCACTTCTCGGTAAGCTTGCTCTCATTCTTTTGTAGGTGTCAGTTCTCTGATAGGATTTAAAGACGGGAAGTTGACATAAACCTGGAATATGAAGTCGTCAAGTGTTTGAAGCAAATCCTCAATAATCCAGTGTGTAGCTTTTTTTTTGTGACAGCACGAATAGCGAACTGAAAGTCGATTCCAGTCCGCTACTAATGAAGCTTTAACACACCATCTTATTGTCACGCAAGTTGCCTCGTCTCTCAATACCCCCCATCTCCCCACACGCAAACTTCTCCTCGACCTATTATCTTTCCTTGCCTATTGGAATGATGGCGAAACCCATCCACTTGTGGTGGCTGCGTTAGATGCCCTCAGCTCCGCGAACGATGAAGGCTCGGGTTGTTACGCCTACTGGTTCAAGTCAATGGAATTGTCACTGTCAGGACGCGGGAAAATGGGCAGTCTTGTCGGCGCCAGTGATGAGGTCAAGAAGACTGGTGGAATCGATACCAATCTGAACGAGTATGCGGTAAGTAGCGAATCCTCTCTGGAGAGGCGAATAATAATGATTATTTTTCTAGGTGGCGAATTTAGTCCTGATCAATGGTGTTATTGGCTTCGTCGAGGACCTGGATTTGCGACTGCACCATCGATCTCAAATGGACGCCGCTGGTCTCAAGCGTATCATTGAGTTGTGCAAAGGCTTCGGAGTGCCTACGATCGATAAACAGCTCAAAATCCTGCAAACTGTGTTGGATGATGACGAGGCGAAATTCCGAGAGCGTCTCGACCAGGAAATCCTTCGCGACCTCAACAACCCGCAAGACGTGTACAATGCGATTTTTGCGAAGACACAGGACACCAAGGCGCGAGACTATTTCTTGTCGATGATGCAGCATCTGCTGTTGATACGGGAAGACGGCCAACCCATGGTGCACTACTATCAGCTCATTGACTCGCTGGTGACGGATGTTGTGCTAGACAAGAAATTGGCGGGGGCAGAACAGCGAATGGGCCAGTCTGTTGAGCGGATAATCGCGCAATTCAATGAGGCGGATCGGTACAAAATAATCGAGGAGGAGGCTGCTGAGGCAAGAGCAGAGCTAACCCGGTTAAGGCTGGAGAAGGAAATGCTGGATGAAGAGGTTTCTCAGGGACAAGATGGCCTCGTCGGGCGACTCAAGAGTCAAGTGGCGCATATGGATGAGAAACTGAGTATATCGAGGGAAACCACAGTCCGCTTGCAAGGGCAAATTGAGGCCCAACGAGAGGGCTATGAGGAGCGGATAGCCCAGCTGGAGGCTCAAATTATGGAGCTTTTCAAGATGCTTAAGGAGATGGGTCGGGGGGTTGATAGCATTCTCGACTCGAGTTCAGGACAGTTGGACCGCAAGACTCTGATTGAGACACTCGAAAAGCACTATCAACGCGCCAAAACGATTGGAATCCTCGAAGGCTCGGAGAATTGGAGACAACGTGGTGAGGATCCAGATGGGACTCCTGGCAAGAAAGGAAGTCTGCGACGTTCAGTGTTAACTAAATCCATGCGGCCGAAACCGGAGGAGAATGGACGAGTTTCTCAATTTATGGATGCGGACGATGATGCGGCTGATGAGCAAATCCAACAACAAATCGCTGCCGGTGTCAAGATTGTAAGTTCCCACTTTGATTTTTTTGTTCTTTCTCTTGAATTTTATCATCCCAGTATCCACAACGAGATGGTCCACTCTCCAGCTCAAGAAGTGTCCGAGGCTCACCTCGACGGGCGGATCGACCACCGCTGGGAGGCGATATGCCTTACAAATCAAGCAATCTGCGTGCTCGTGGAGAGGATGCGGAAAATAGTGATTATAGTCGGTCATCATCACCTGGGCCAACAGAAGATGAGAGAGCAGCACCTGGAACACTGGCAGAACAATTAAGCAAGCATTTACTTGCTAGAGGTGCAGCCAGTCCAATACCAGAAGAAGGTGCATCGCCACCACCACCGCCGCCGCCGCCACCACCTCCTCCTCCTCCCCCCTCCGCCGCCTCCACCGCCTCCACCGCCAGCCTTTAGGGTTGGCACAGCCACGCCTCCTCCGCCCCCCGCCCCCCCCCACCGCCTCCCGGATCATCTTCCGCTCCTCCGCCACCCCCTCCACCACCACCAATGTCCATGCCCGGATCAGTCGCCAACTCTGTTCCAAACTCGGCCCGAACATCTCTTTTGGGTGCAAATATCAATTCATTATTGTCTGCTCGGAAAGATCTCCCTATCCCCCCGCCAAGCACAAAGATGAAGCAGCTTCAGTGGGACAAGCTTCCTCAACAACAAGCTGCCAAGACTGTTTTCAACGACGAACCACCAGAGCGAGAGAAAGAGATCATCAACAAGCTTCAAATCGATGGTGTGTGGATGGAAATGGAGGAGGACTTCAAAGCGAAACAGCTCGTCATCAATCTCATGGGTTCGTTACTCGCGCACATCTGATTTTGTTCTTACACAGGCCATAGCCCGACAGAAGCATGCCGAGCTCAAGAGTGTGCTGGATCCGCAGACGAAGAAACGAGTCGGTACGTGATTTGGATTGAAGAGGGCCACAACCTGAACGTGGGCATAGAAATTCTAATCCAGCGAGTCAAGCAGCTCCAACCCGAAGAAATCGCTTTCAAGATACAACAGTTCGATCAAGATCTGTGTACGCAAGGCTTCCTAAGCGAGCTCAAGCCCGTCCTCCCATCTCCAGAGCAAGTCGGGAAACTGAACGTATATCGCAATTCTGATGCCGAGGAACTCGCTGGCCTTCATCCTTCCGACCGTCTCATGGTCAAACTCATTCAAATAGACCGACTAGGGCCTCGCATAGAAGGCATGCTCTACAAATGTGACTTTGAGGAGCAATGGTCACTGCTTGATGAGGTATATTTGTTCTCCTCTCATAATGCCGCTCTAACAATCACTCAGTCTGCACGGAAACTTTCAGAAGCTAGTCAATCGCTTCTAGATGCCCGAGCGTTCAAGGAGTTACTCAGTGTTGGTGACAACTCGCACTGGTTCTGAATGTGGATTGACGGCTTGCAGCTCATCCTTTTGATTGGCAACTATATGAACGGAACGGGCATCAAGGGAGGGGCGTTTGGATTCCGTGTCAGTAGTATCAACAAGATGGTCGACACTAAATCCGTCAACAACACTACATTGCTGCATTTCTTGGAACGGACGGTCGCAAAACATTTCCCAGATATGGAAACGTTCTTGGACGAGCTTGCGAAGCCTGCGGAGGCATACCGAGGTCGGTTCTTACGGCCTGATCAACGTGAGATGTTATCTGATTTCCTATCCAGTGAACCTTCAAGACTTGAGAAAGGGGCTGGGAGACTTGCGTGATGGCCTAAAACGAATTCGTCAAGAGCTCGCGGATCATTATGCTGATATGGACCAGAGCGAAAAGTACGGGAAGCAGATGTGGACTTTTGTTGGGAAGGCGAATGCGCAACTGGAAGACCTTACCGATAGCGTCAACCTCGCTGACACAACGTTCACGGAGGCCATCAAGTACTATGGCGAGGACGAAAAAGCGATGAATTCGTCCGAGTTCTACGCGGTGTTCAAGACTTTTGTAACTTCCTACAAGGTAAGAGAATATCTCGCAGCGAACTTGTTTTCTGACCAAGTTGTGTGTAGAAATGCAAGTCAGAAAACCAGACGCTTTTGGAGGAGCGACTGGCGGTAGAAAAGCGGAGGCAGGCTGCCGACGAAATAAAAGCCAACCGACAAAAGATCTTGGACGAGGCAGGAAGCAACGAAGCGGACGATGTTCTCGATACGCTTCTGGAGAAGTTACGCAACGGAGACGCTGTCAGTCGAAGAACAAGGAGAACAAGGGGAGATGGAGTTGGAGTTCCTGCTTCGCTCAATCTGGATGGAGACACGCCAGCTGCAACCGCTGATGTTGCCAGGGACATGCTGGCACGATTACAGTCCGATGGATTTGTCACACCGGCGTCACCCACAATCGGGGTGGCTCAACGAAGGCGGAGACGACGGGATTTGGCGTCAGAAAATGAGGACCTGGCCAGCCCAACGACAGATACTGAAGCATGATGACTAATTTACGCATTGTATTTTTATTTGGCATCTACGAAGGACTGCATCATTACGTAACCCAAATCTCTCCCGACCAGCGAACCTGGTCGCGGACAACAGCCACCATAAATTTGTGTCCGCGCCCGCGCCAGCACTGCCAGAGGACTCAAATCTGTCCGGTGTAGACGTCAAATACGGCTTAGACGTTTTGCAGCTTGATCCTAACTCCCATTATGGCGGAAAACATCTACACAAAGGTTTGTCGTCGTTTCACTCTCTGGCTCGTTTTCCCCGGTTAATTCTCTCTTCTAAGGGCACCCGGGCCTACTTTGAGGACAAGGAGCTTGCATGGGTGTCGGCTGAGGTTTCGTCAGTGAGCAGAACTGGTGATGCGCTCAAGCTCGTTTTTGTCGATGAGCGAGGCAAAGTGCGTTCTTACATATTTGGCTTCCCGCCAAGTAGCTCAACCCGAATCTTCTATCTAGGAAATTGTAGTCAACACTACTGTGCAAGATATTCGCGACGGCAAAGATGGCCTCCCCCCATTGCGCAACCCTCCACTACTCGAGACCGCCGATGATCTCGCGACTCTTTCCCATCTAAACGAGCCATCCGGTTTGTCGAGCGTACCCCCTGCTTTCTGGTGAACTCAATAATCTGTGTCAGTCCTCCACACCATCCGCAACCGATATGCCCAGCATAGCATTTACACGTACAGCGGAATTGTGCTCATTGCGGTCAACCCCTTCCAGCGCGTGACTATGTATGGCCCCGACATTATCCAGGCGTATAGTGGACGGAGGAGAGGGGAGCTGGAGCCCCATCTTTTCGCTATTGCGGAAGACGCTTATACCGCTATGAGGCGGGACGGCGAGGGCCAGACCATCATCGTTTCCGGAGAGAGGTATGCTTTCGCTGCACACTTTTTGGAGGTGGCGTATTGACGGAGTGTTCAGTGGAGCGGGAAAGACAGAGTCTGCCAAATTCATCATGCGATACCTCGCCTCAGTCAATCCCCCGGACTCTAATGCCAAGGCCAAAGCCAAGTTCTCTTTGGACGACTCGAGCGAAATCGAGCGACAAATTCTCGCGACCAACCCTATCCTCGAGGCCTTTGGTAACGCGAAGACCACGAGGAATGACAATTCTTCTCGGTTCGGAAAGTACATCCAGGTGGGGTTCATCGCTTGTCTGGTGATCTTAACACTAAACTCACACCAGATTTTGTTTGATGGAAAGCAAGAAATTGTCGGTGCACGGATACGAACCTACCTTTTGGAGCGTTCAAGAATCGTCTTCCAACCGTTGACGGAGCGAAATTACCACATATTCTATCAACTGTGTGCTGGTGCCCCGTTGAAGGAACGTAAAGATCTTGGTCTCGATCCTGATATCAACAAATTCTTCTACTTGAAGCAAGGAGGACCTAGCTCTACGCCTATCAACGGCGTGGACGATTCCGAGGAGTTCAGAGCAACACAACAGGCGCTGTCTACCGTCGGGATCAGTGTTGAGAAGCAATGGGCCGTCTTCCGTTTGCTTGCGGGTATGCTTCACCTGGGTAACGTGAAAATCACACAAACACGGACGGACGCAATTATCGACGACGACGATGCCGCACTTTTACTCGCTACGCGTTTCCTTGGTGTCAATGTGGCAGAGTTCAAGAAGTGGACTGTCAAGAAACAGATTACGACGCGTTCAGAGAAGATCGTAACGGCCCTCAACGCAGGCCAGGCGACAGTGGTCAGGGACAGTGTGGCCAAGTTTGTGTATGCCTGCATGTTCGAATGGCTGGTGGCCATTGTGAATGAGAGTTTAGCTGGAGAGAACGGTGATGCGGCGACCAGGGCAGAGATGTTCATTGGCGTGCTTGATATTTATGGCTTTGAGCACTTCCAGAAGGTATATACATAACCTTTGACCGTTCTACCGCTAATTGCCCCTCCAGAACTCGTTCGAACAGTTTAGCATCAACTACGCCAACGAAAAGCTTCAGCAAGAAGTGCGTATCACTTGCAAGGAAGGCTATACACGAAGACTAATTTTGTCTCTTTCCAGTTCAATTCCCACGTCTTCAAACTCGAGCAGGAGGAATACGTCAAGGAGGAGATCAACTGGACCTTCATTGACTTCTCTGACAACCAGCCGTGTATTGATGTCATTGAGGGCAAATTGGGTGTCCTGGCTCTACTTGACGAAGAGTCTCGTCTGCCTTCTGGTAGCGATGGCTCGTTCCTACAAAAGCTCAACACCCAATTATTGAAGCCCGAGTTCAAGGACGTTTACAAGAAGCCCAGGTTCGGTAACTCTGCTTTTACCATCGCCCATTATGCTCTCGACGTCACCTACGAAGTCGAAGGCTTCTTGGAGAAGAACAGAGATACTGTGCCAGATGAACACATGGCTCTATTGGCAAGCACCAAAAACCCGTTCCTTAAGGAAGTTCTCGATGCTGCACTTCTTACCACCAAGTCACCTGACAGTCCCAATCCTGGCTCTTCAGAGTCTGGAAGTGCAGGAGCTGGCTCTCGACGCTCGTCTGTCATTCCAGATCCTGGTCGACAGTCGTTTGTCGGTAATGCAGCGACACCGACATCAGCTACTGGGGCTAAACGGCCTGGCGCTGTGAAGAAACCCACTCAGGGATCCATCTTCAAAGCGTCCCTAATCACACTCATGGATACTCTCAGCGTCACTAATGTGCACTACATCCGTTGCATTAAACCAAATGAGAAGAAACGGCCTTGGGAGTTCCAACCTCAACAAGTCCTGGGCCAGCTTCGTGCTTGTGGTGTTCTCGAGACAATTCGAATCAGCTGTGCCGGCTACCCTACTCGTTGGACATACGAGGAGTTTGCTGAACGGTGCATCAATTTTCTCTTTCCCACTTTTCTTCAATCTAAGTTTTTGCTAGCTATTATATGTTGGTTCCCTCGACTGACTGGCAGCCGCTCATCAAGTCTATGGATCTTCGAAAACTTTGCACGATCATCCTCGAAAAGTCCATTACTGACAAAGACAAGTATCAGAATGGGCTGACCAAGATCTTTTTCCGGGCGGGAATGTTGGCTTCTCTGGAAGCCTTCCGTTCCGATCGACTCAACGCTATGGTTACCGTTGTACAGAAGAACATGCGTCGGCGTATGGCAGTCAAGAAGTACCAGCAGCTTCGGAAAGCCACCATTCAGATCCAAACATGGTGGAGAGGGATTATGGCCAAGCGCCTTGTTCAGCACATCAGGCGGGAGGTCTCGGCCAAACGCTTGCAGACTGCCGTTCGTCGCTTCGTTCAGCGCAAAAAGTTTTTGGATATCAGCCATTCCATCCGACGCTTCCAAAGCCGTATGTGTTCCATCATCAACCATGATGACATCACTGATTTCCATCAAAGGTGTGCGCGGTATCCAGGCTCGTGCACAGTTTGTTCAAGATCGCAAAACGCAAGGCGCCGTCCTCTTGCAGAGTCTTTTCAGAGGCCTGTTCGTATTGTCTGCTTTCTGTTGAATATTGTCTGAATTGATTACCCAAGGTTATGCCGCCGCCATCATCGTGCCGATGTTCGTCACGTGGTATATCTGCAGTCTTGTATCCGCCGGCGTTACGCCCGCAAGAAACTACGCGAATTACGTGCCGAGGCGCGCTCGGTCAACACATACAAAGAGGCATCCTACAGGCTTGAGAATAAGGTCGTCGAGCTTACGCAAACTCTTCAAGCTCGGACAGAAGAGCGGAAACAACTTCAAGTCCGGGTGTCAGAGCTCGAGCAACAGCTCCAGCAATGGATCAATCGTCACGAAGAGCTGGATGCACGGACCAAACAATCTCAGGCATCTCTTCGTACAGCAGAAGCGGAACTGTCTCGTCGCGATGAATTATTGCAAACCAAAGCGGAGGTAGAAAAGCGTCTGGAAGAGGCGCTTTCGAAGGCGATCGAGAAGGAGGAGATCATTCAGAAGCTTACGGACGATGTTTCCCGACAAGCTGCTCAATTGGAGCAGCAGCAGAAGGCTATTGACACTGCTCCTTCTCGCAACCATGAAGATAGTTCAGTGATTATGACTCTCAAGAACGAAGTCAGCAGTCTGCGGGAGCAACTTAACCGCTCGAATGCTCTTAATGCTCTGACTCGTGGTTCTCGTGCCGACCCACCACTGTCCCCCACTTTTGCGCCAGCTTTGCGCGCGTTGGAGCAGCAGCAGCAGCAACAGCAACAACAAAACGGTACTGTTCCCATTGGTCAGGGAGCCGCTGGTCAAAGGCACCAGCGACGACACAGCTCAGCAGGTGTCTTCAACATCGCACCATCAGATCATCGGACATCGACAGACGAAATTATGTTCAGCGTCAAGAAGACCCAAGCACTCAACCCGCGGGCGGTGTCGGTTGCCTACAACGGCGAAGACAACTACCTTCGCATGCGCTCAAATGGCTTGCCCGACATTCGCGACTTCGATGACCCTGCCGAAGAGAAAATCCGACTCATGCAGGACGTTAAACGGCTTGATGAGGATATCTTGGATGGTCTTGTCCGCGGCCTGAAGATCCCCGCCCCCAGCCTCACCAACCCGTCCGCCGTCAAGGAGATCCTCTTCCCCGCAAACCTCATCAGTCTCGTCACAAACGAAATGTGGAAATATGGGCTCATACCGGAGAGCGAGCGGTTCTTGGCAAACGTCATGCAGACAATCCAAGGGCATGTTATGGTCAGTCATAATCTGCTTTGATATATTCTAAACTAATGTGTGTAGTCTTTCACGGGTGAAGAGGCCATCGTCCCCGGCATATTCTGGCTTTCCAACGTTCACGAGATGCTGTCATTTATCTGCGTCGCCGAGAGCGATATGCTGCAAGGCATTGGTCCAGGTGAAGAAAACGCTGTCCGCTCGTTTGACTGGAATGACTACGAGCGACTTGTCTCTGTGGTCAAGCACGACCTGGACAGTTTAGAGTACAACATCTACCACACCTGGATGCTGGAGACGAAGAAGAAGCTGTCCAAGATGGTCATTCCGGCGCTTATTGAAAGCCAGTCACTTCCTGGGTTTACGACGAGCGATGGCGGCGGGCGGTTGTTCAACCGACTGCTGAATGCCAACAGCACACCTGCTTACTCGATGGACGACATCCTCAATTTGCTGAACAAGGTGTGGAAGAGCTTGAAGAGCTACTACATGGAGGAATCGGTTGTGCAGCAGGTCGTCACGGAGCTGCTCAAGCTTATTGGAGTCACGAGTTTCAACGATCTTCTCATGCGACGCAACTTCTCTTCGTGGAAACGAGGCAAGAACGGTTTCTTGGGCCACTTTTTTGTTTTGTTGACAAGTTTTTTTTACAGCAATGCAAATACAATACAACATTACTCGTATTGAGGAGTGGTGCAAATCACACGACATGCCTGAGGGTACATTGCAATTGGAGCACTTGATGCAGGCCACCAAGCTCCTCCAACTGAAGAAGGTGTGTTGATGTGTTGCGCCTAAAAGTAGTGTCTGATGAATTAGGCGACTGCGGCTGACATCGAAATAATTTACGACGTCTGCTGGATGTTGAGTCCGATGCAGATCCAACGAATGTGCACGAACTACTATGTCGCTGACTATGAGGTGGGTGGTATCCCTTTCCAGAGCATAGTGCTGTTGCTAACCCTATCGTCAGAACCCGATATCGCCTGAAATCCTGAAGGTAGTAGCCTCGCGGGTACAGGCTAATGACCGAAACGACCATCTGCTGCTTCCACTTGAGACAGAGGAAGTTGGCCCTTACGAACTGCCACTGCCGCGAGAGGTGTCTGGCCTGGAGACTTACGTGCCAGCGTATCTGAATGTGTCACACCTGCGGCGGCTTGCTGCCCTCGTTTCTTATACGTAGACTCTCTTGCATTTTACACTCATGATACCTTGCGCTCTCCTACGACCAAGAATGTATTTAAAATTTTAAATGTCTTCCTCACAAAGCGTGACCAGCCCCCCTTCGACAAGCTGGCTCGAAAGCGACAAATCGTTCTGACATCGGTCACCAGACTCTTTCGCGAGAAAGAGTGCCTTTGTAGAACTTCGCTTGAGCTGTGTTGCGATCAAGTCAGCGACACGCCCCGCTCCAACATTCTGCGCGCCGTCAGTTTAGCGTTTGTCTATTGTGAGTCACACTTTTACTTTTCGCGTCCAGAACACCTTGTCTTCTGCTCTGAAAATGAAGCGCTCGCTGGGCGCGAGTGCGGATGACTTGTCCTTGGGGTCGAGCGGGACCGCACGGTGTTTTATGACCATCAGTGCTTTTGCGGGGTCGGCGGGCAGCTTGTTGAAGTAAGCGGGTTGGCGAACCCGAGTCATCGCCGAGAGATGACGTCAGCGGCTGCGCCATCACCGACGCTCGGCGCGTCGGGAATGTTCTCCCACTTTCTATTGACTCAGAATACAGAATATACTAGAATAAAGAGAGTAGTATAAATACTTGGTAGTCCTACTCTAATAAACATCGAATATTTTGTCTAGTTTCTTCAACAGGTTATGGGGCCCGGCACCTCACATTGGCCAAGCACCCCACAGTAGCGACACCACTTATTATCCCCTGCACCACCCTCCTCCGACACACAGCGACCACGCGATGGGACGGCTCCATGGAGCAGCCTTTTGGGATGTGATCCCTCTACGGCAATGGGCTGGCAGAGCAGCGCGGGAAAGAGCGGCGAAGGGAACGACACGTACCGGACACTCGATCACGGATGGCAGATGGCTCAGCATCGCCAGCACACGGACAGATGAGCATGGTCAGCACAGATCGGTCATCGACACAGCTTCGGGCTCACGGCCGGCGCGCCGGAGCGGCATGGACTTGGCTTGGGATGGGTTACCGCCATGGGATCGCCAATGGGCTGGATCAGTTGGTTGGGACCTGGAATGGAATGGAACAGAGTCACGAAAGGGATCGCCACGATGGGCTGGATCACAGTCGGACTCGGAATTGGATGGACTTGAACTGGAACCGGGCCGGAGGCTACCGACACGACATGGGAATGTACTCGCGGACACGGACATGGACACCGAGGGCTTATGGGCCGCGGCAACGGATTTGGTATGGGCACGGCATGGACTCCGGGTTGACGCTGGCGCCGAGGGCGGCCAGGAAGGACCATAGGAACGGCCAAGCAGCAAACGGCACATGGGCAACAGACACTGGGATTTACAGTCAGCATCAGAGACTGCATGGAGAAAGGGGGAGTCTACAACACCACAAGAAAGCCTCTAACCCAGGCGAGGTATTCCACTGCGCACCATGCTTGCGAAAGCACGGCTCGACTCGTGTGTTCGAGGGGGAGTGTTGAAGTAAGCGGGTTGGCGAACCCGAGTCATCGCCGAGAGATGACGTCAGCGGCTGCGCCATCACCGACGCTCGGCGCGTCGGGAATGTTCTCCCACTTTCTATTGACTCAGAATACAGAATATACTAGAATAAAGAGAGTAGTATAAATACTTGGTAGTCCTACTCTAATAAACATCGAATATTTTGTCTAGTTTCTTCAACACAGCTTTGACGCTGTGCGGGTGGCAGTAGTGGATTTGGTAGAGGAAAAGTGTTTGGCGAGCAAAGCCCGCGCCTTGTCGTTCTTTGGCGGCGGGGCGGGTGCTTGTTCAGAGCAGCCATGAGATTTGGGATGGCGGTGTCTGGTAGAGGATGAGTCAGCGTATGAAGTGTTTGGCCTGAACTTACTCGGCGCAAAAGGACTGTTGACATTGTGTGCATTTGGCGGGTGTCCGGCCTTGGTCATCAGAGGCAGCGGCGATGAAGGCTTCAAGACTGGGCTTCCCACAGTTACCAGCGCTGCAACGTAGAAGAGGAGAAGAGCTAGTTGCTGGTGCTTGTTGACCTAATCTGGCGCTTTTACAAGAGTGGCCGTCGACTGTTGCGTGAAAGCGACAAAAATAGTCTTTGCAGGCCACACAGAGGATGGGCAGAAAGTCGACCTCGAGGTGCGTCGTTCAAGGCGCTGACAGCGAGAGCAGCAGCCTCACCTCGCCACAGTCAGAGTGCGAACATTGCGCGCCGATTTGCAGCATACTAGTAGTGGATCGTCACGGTGGAAGAGAAGACGCGTCACTGTCCGGGCAGCCTTCTCTCTCTTCCGTATACTCACCATGGTTCCCTCCTTCAAACCTTTTACGGTGGCTCTCATCCAGCTCGGGGAAATTACTGCCAACAAGTCCAAAAATCTCAAGCATGCTCATGATATGATCCTCAGGGCCACCGCAAACAGCAAGAGACCCGAGCTTATCGTCCTGCCTGTTGTGCTTCTTGCCAGAGCCTCTCTACAAGCTCACACCGATCCAGGAGTGCTTCAACTCTCCATATGGCCACGTCCATTTTCCCGTTTACGCCGAGAAAATCGGCTTCATCGACGGCAAGCGGTACGATGTTGCGAATACTGAGAGTGAAAGTGCGGCAAAACGAGTGGAATGCTGCAGCTACTCAACTCATTCTAGGCGTAAAAATGCTCTCAAGAGCGGCAAAATTAACCGAAACGTGGCTTATCGGAGGTTACTTCGTCGCTTGACCTTTTTCAACATGATGAATTCTGGTTTAGGCACCATTCCTGAAAGTGACGGAGACAATTTGTACAATACCTGTACAGTATTTAACCCACAAGGTAGCTATACTCAACTGCCACGAACAATAAAATAAGAGCTACCAGGCGATCTCGTGGCTACTTACCGCAAGATCCACCTATTCGACATCGACATTCCAGGGAAGATAACGTTCAAGGCAAGTAACAACAACTCAAGGTCTTGAGATTCAACTCAGGAAATTGGGTTAGGAAAGCGAAACGCTGAGTCCTGGCACGACCATCAATTCCTTCGACACAGAGTTTGCCCGCATCGGGCTTGGAATATGCTACGACGTGAGGTTTCCCGAACTGGCAATGATTTCCGCCCGCAAAGGTACTCGCGCCGTTACTCCTTCGTCATCCAACATCTTTTCAGGCTGTCATGTCCTCATTTATCCTGGCGCGTTTAACACGACCACTGGTCCGCTGCACTGGGAAGTACTTCAAAGATCACGGTTTGCTTTCTTCTGTGTCATTCAAACCTATCTGTTCAAATAGGGTCAAGTGCTGTTGACAACCAAGTATTCTTTGCTATGTGTAGTCCCGCACGGGATTTAACAGCAAATTACCATGCGTGGGGCCATTCCATGGTTGTAGACCCAATGTACGGATGCAATTTTTTTTAACAGGCTCGCTGACTCGTTTTAGGGCGAGTGTCCTGGTAGAGGCTGCAGAAGGCGAAGAAATTGTCTTTGCTGACATTGGTAAGTTGTTCTTGCCCAGTTCAAATCATGGTTAATAACGACTGTAGACCCTTCTGTGATGGAGAGCGCCAGAGCAGGCATTCCAGTCACGAAGCAGCGTCGATTCGATGTGTACCCGGATGTGAGCAAGTAGTAGTCATGTATTTTAGTCAGCAATTTCTAGCGTATTCCATCCGCATTTGGCAGACTGCTGTGCTAACGCCTTTTAACCCTTCACTTCCACCACGACCGCCCCCTCCCATCCATCATGGTCCGCGAAACCAAGTTCTACGATCTTCTCGAAGTAAGCACTCCTTGTTTAGAGGTGACCATACTCAATGCAGTCTATGTAGGTCCCTCCCAATGCGTCCGAATCCGATCTTAAAAAGGCGTACCGCAAAAAGTATATTTTTTCGTCGACAGCCGCTCACGTTTTAAGACCCATTTTTTAGAGCTTTGAGGCTACACCCCGACAAGGGTGGCGATCCCGAGCTTTTCAAAGAGGTCACACATGCGTAGGTGGTTTATAAGTCATGCTTTTTTCCAACCCTCTCACCGAATTTGAAGATATGAAGTCCTATCTGACCCAGACAGGCGCAACATCTATGATACGCGAGGGGAGGCTGGACTGGAACAGGGTGGAGGAATGGGCGGCATGGACCCTCAAGTACGCGATCGATATTTTATCTAACTCCTTTGCAAGCGTACTAATCGACGATCAGGACTTGTTTAGTCATCTTTTCGGCGGGGGAGGAGGCGGCTTCTTTGGTGGAGGCGGTGGCGGACGCAGCGCTGGCCCCCGCAAGACAAAAGATCTTGTCCACCGTGTACACGTCACGCTTGAAGACTTGTACAAGGGCAAGACAACGAAACTTGCCCTCACACGGAACCGAATTTGCTCCAAATGCAAAGGCAAGGGCGGCAAGGACGGCGCTGTCCGGTCTTGCAACACCTGCAGTGGTCGTGGAATAAAAGTCACGCTTCGTCAAATGGGCCCGATGATCCAGCAAATCCAGTCTCCTTGCGACGATTGCTCTGGGACGGGAGAGGTTATCAACGCTAAAGATCGGTGTACTCAGTGCAAGGGCAAGAAGGTTCTACCAGAGAAGAAGGTACTCGAGGTTCATATAGACAAGGGCATGAAGGGCGGGCAAACGGTTCAATTCCGCGGAGAGAGCGACGAATCGCCAACAGCAGAGCCAGGCGACGTCGTTATCGTCATCGAAGAAAAGCCACACGAGCAGTTCAAACGACAAGAGAACGATCTTATCATCGAGGTCGAGGTTGACTTGCTAACTGCTCTCGCGGGTGGCCAATTCGTTGTCAAGCATCTTGATGACCGGGCCCTCGTCGTCAAAATAGAGCCTGGCGAAGTGGTCAAACATGGTATGATCTACTACTTTCTCTCTCGCAATGCTTATTGTTCTCCGCAGGGGATGTCAAGGTCATTCGGGGACAGGGAATGCCCTCACAGCGACACCATGAGCCTGGTGACATGTACGTCAAGCTGAGCGTCAAATTCCCAGAGAGCATCGATCCCACTGCTATCTCATTGCTCGAAAAAGCGCTCCCTCCTCGGAACCCCGTCAAGACGTTCCCCAAGAATATTATTTTGGATGAGGTCAGCATGGACGAGGTCGATATGCGGACCAGGAATCCGCTTCGCGAGGAGGCTATGGACGAGGACACGGAGGAGCCGCGGGTGCAGTGCGCTAACCAGTGATTGTGTGCATTTTTTCTATAGAGTCTGTGTGTTGCTGTCAATTGTGCTACCTATACGTAATATTCCCTAAGCATCCCAGCGAGTCTGTAGTGGTCATGAGATTGCGCCGTGGTGGTGGTGGTTTGAGCTCACTTCTGGATTTGCCTTGAAGCGGGTATAGTCCTCGTAGTTGAAGAAGCTCACTTCCGTCTCGTTTTCTTTACTCTTTATGAGTATTGCTTGATGGACATCGCGGCAAACATACCGAAACCAAGGTCAACCAGCAGCTTGCTGTCGTCGTCAAATATCCAGTCGTCGTGGTCAAGATTTATGATGAGATTTGTGGTCTGCACTATTGAGCGTCTCGGAAATCGGTTGAGGATCGGGGTACCTTGGCGCCATGGGCATGAGAGTATAATTTCAGCGTATCTAACGAACGCGTTGAATGAGTCAATCGACCCATCAAAACGGGGGCAAATGCAGACCCAGAGACGCGGCGATGCTATGATATGGCCTCCATGCCCGTTCGGTTGTCACGGCTAGCGGGCGGTATGTGGATGAGTGTCGCGGTGGGTGAGTTGTTACCTCCCCGCGCCATCTCTTTCAGCTGGCCGACAGTGGTCGTTTCGAGATTTACGCTATGCAAAACTAGACTCCGCTCCGTACGAAACTCAAACGACTTGATTATGCGTAGAGTGACCGTTGCCGATGTTGTGGGGAGCGCTTCGTTGGTGAGCATGACGGAAAAAGATAGAGTATGTACAGTCACGTCTAGTAGAAATCACGATGCCACCTTCCAGACGCCCAGACCACGCTCCCCCAATTCCGCCCACTCGCCAGTCGATATACTCGGGATTTTTTGCTATCGTCCCAGACCTTATATAAAGCTGGCAACTGGCGTCGATGTTTTGACACTGCGCAGATCCCCTACTCCACCGGACGCGCCAGTGAGAACCTGAGAAGCTGGAGGACGTGTATCGGACATCCGGGCCGAATGCCCAAAAGCAAGAACGCGACAATCGTACTGCATTTATTGTGTGTTGCCTATGTCTTTTCTATCGAGCACAGACAATGTTTGACTCAGAATCTCCAGCTGGGTGCCATCAGAGATCTCCGGGCTATAACCACCTACCTCTCGTCGCAGACGGCGTTTGGCGATGCGAGAGAAAAGTTCTTGCGGCTGCAACAATTCTCAATCATTATAAATCTTGCAGAACCACCAGTTCTGGACGAGAAGCTGATTATGCGAATGCAGGACGCTGACGTTGACGAGTTTCACAATGGATCGGGATTACTTGGAAGTTAGACTCCATGGAAGTAATAGCTCGCCATGGAGTCTAACGGGAAGACGGTCACGAAAGGCGGCCAACGTGTAACCTCCCAAGACGGGGCAAGTAGCGTCGCATTTTCCGGTGTTTGTGCTTTCTCACCCTTTCCCAGCCAATCGTTTGGGGCGCGGCGGGGACCAATGGTCAACACTCGTTTCACCAACTCATCCACCAGGGCATCAATATCATTCCTACTGACTTCCTTGCGCCGGCAACGACACACAACCCCATTGCGCAGTCCAAGCACCACCGCATCTTGCTCTCCAACTTCTTCGCCCAGCCAGAGGCACTGGCGTTTGGCAAGACGGAGGAGGAAGTCCGCAAGGAGCTGGGCTCAGAGGCGCTCTACAAGAGTGAAGTCTTTGAAGGCAACAGCTTGATGTTCCCCAAACTAACCCCCGCAGCGCTTGGTGCGCTGATTGCGCTGTACGAACACAAGATTTTCGTCCAAGGTGTTGTGTGGGGTATCAATTCGTTCTATCAAATGGGCGTCGAACTGGGTGTAGTGCGCATATTTTGGCGCTGCGGACGTTAAAGGCCACGACAGCTCGGTATGTCCCCTTGACCATTCCCAGTGAGCGGCTCTGAATTAAGTTCGATAGACGACTGGCCTGCCTGATCCATTACTACCAGTAGTGCCAACACTTACCACCTCCATTCCATTCCGTTGTCTGACGTTCTCCACACTCATCAGTATACCCGAGCATCCGCTACATAGAATCAAACATCCGTGGTTTTCCATGTTTCAGAAAAACATATTTAACGTCCTGGGAGTTACAGTGAAATGCTCAACCAACAGACTCGATGATGGTCAACCTCCACGGCCGCCCCACCCGATTTTCTGGTCCGCGTTGCCCATGTGGGTCTTGACACACACAGACCGAGAGCCTCGTATCTTCAATAGGCCGGGTGACTTTGGAGAGTGGCCCCCGCAAAGGTCAGCACACCGAGTCTTCCATTGCCTGCCTGGCTGCGCTGCATGTAGCGCCCCGGGTTGTGCGGGTCGGGGACTGCGGTATCGGCCTGAACGGGAGGTAGGTCGAATCCTACCTGCTTTAATGTGGCCCTCGAGTCGGACGAGAATTCAAACAGGCGACCTGCTTGCATGCGCAGATACATAAGACCTGTTGATTCGAAAACTACCGCTAAGAATGCCAGGTACGAACGACACACGATGGGCTGCAACGTCTACTAGCACTCTTGGAATTTATACTTGATTACTTAATATAAGTTGTTGTTCAATCTTTCAGCAGGCGCACTCATGAGCATGACAGCAGAGCACGAAAAAGATAGTACAGCCACCAGTCTACTAATCACGATACCACCTTCCAGACGCCCAGACCACGCTCCCCCCCAACTGCTACCGTTCCGCCCACTCGCCAGTCGATACTCAGGATTTTTTTGCTGTCCTCCCAGACCTTAAAGCTGGCAACTGGCGTCGATGTTTTGACACTGCGCAGATCCCATATTCTCGCTACTCCATCGTACGCGCCACTGAGAACCTGATGGGGACTACTCGGTGAACGGACGAGACATGAAGGCGTTGCTGGATGGGTCATTATAGCCGAAGGTGTTGGATTGGATTCTCTAAAGTCGTATTGAGAGACGGTCCGATCCGTAGAAGCCGCTACAACTGTTGCAGACGAGGCGGAAAGTGCTACAAATGGACGCTCGGAGCAGTTCTAGATAGTGTAAGAATGATAAGGGCCCATAGAAATCGAACATACGATTGTTGTTGCACAAACACCAAGCTCGAGGTTCCATAACCGCAGACTGGAGTCGAATCCACAGCTGTGTGCATTCAGCTCTTCGCCAAACGCGACATCTGAAACGCGTCCTGTGTGTGATTTCAACACCGTCAACGGTGCTTTCTTTTTCGGTCGATTTTCCTCGACCTTTCTCCGTTTCTTGCGCTCAGGCAGGACGGGCTCGGAGACCTCATCTTGGTCAGGTATTTCGGTGGTCCACAGCCCAACCAGTCCATCCCACGAGGCAGTCAGAAGCTGTGACCCCGACGCATTGCTGGCAATGGCGGAAACTGGCTCTGTGTGCAAATGTAAAGAAGCCAACGGCTTGCTTGCTTCTGAGGAGTCGTCAACCGAAATCCGCGTAAGCTGAGCGGTTAGGTCATGAGAGGCGGTTGCGACTAGGCACATTTCAGGGGCCGGGACAATGCAAAATGATGTTATAGCAGCGCGGTGGATTGATGTGCTCCATTTTTGCTTTTGGGAGTAATCAAAAGCACGTAGTTGCCCATCATAGGAGGCAGTCAGGAAGTATCTGGCAAGACTGGTCAGACTAAGGTTTCAGTATGTCCCACTTCGCTCGCACCGATCAAGTTTGCAGGAGACGGCGGATACCCAGTCGTCGTGAGGCAGATCTGCCATTTTTTGAGGCGGTAAAACAGACTCGATATATTCTATTTCGAGGGTCTCTTCTTCCCCCACAGCATTTTGAGAGCACCAGTCAGCAAGGGATGTTTTGAGGATGTCTCCCCGGAGCAGGAAGTCGAAAGGGATCGGCTTTGGAAGGGAAAGCGCTTTGTTGATCAGTTGAGATAGCTGGTATCGAGACCATGCTGTCGGAATCATGAAAGACTGTGGCGGCAGAGGATAGGGCGTCTGAGTAGTGAAAACAGCCGGCTGGGATGCCATGGCTGAGCAAAAAAAGAGCGCGTCGTGACGCGTGACCGAGATGCGGTCTCCGCGTTCAACGACAAGCTTGCAAGAAATTCTGTCTTCAATATCCGAATACCAATCTGAAGAAGCACAACTCTCCAACTCCCTGTCTGAACTGCTTTCTGCCAGAGAGCCTATCGTAGCCTCCCTCGCGCGTCTGCAATCCTTGATTCCTTCCCTCGACACTCTTACCGAGGATGCAACTCTTTTGTCTCGGACGGTCTCGGCAACGGCGACAACAGCGGAACGAGTAGGAGGCCGCGTGAGATCGCTGGATGAAGAAATGCGGCGTGTTAGAGAAGCAGCTGACCGCGTTGGCCAGGTCATGGAACTCAAGGTGCGTCAATATAAACCCAAAGCACTTTGATTTTCCCAAATACTCCTCCAGACTTCCCTTTCAGCCCTCCAATCAGCCATCCAATCTCAAGACTGGGAGGCTGCGACACGACACTGCGCCCGTGCCATGTCACTTCCGATCCAAGTAATTTCTGGGCCATTCGCTGAAACCGCTGTGGTACGTGAATATCACGCTTTAGTTGAGCATGTCTCATGCCCTCAGGCCAGCCGACTTCGGACAGTCACCTTCCTCCCGCACAGACACTACAGGCTGCCCGTGAACATCTATTGACCATCTTCCGTCAACAATTCGAGCAAGCGTCGCGTTCGCGGGACTCGGCAACCACAAGTCGTTTCTTCAAGCTGTTTCCTGAAATTGGCTGGGAAGAAGAGGGTCTTCAGGCCTACGCCGCGTTCATCGTCGATCTTGTGCGAGTGCGCGCCCCCGCTTCTGCTAAAAGTATATCGTGCCATTTATTGGAATGACCTGCGTATTAACTAGTCGTACAGCGTCGTCCCCGCTATACTATATAACCGCCCTCACTGCATTGTTTGAGAGCATTGCCTTGATTGTAGACCAACATCAGCCTGTCGTCGAAAAATACTATGGGAAAGGCAAGATGCAAAGGGTCGTGGTAAGACTGCTGGAAGAGTGTGATCGAGTGGTCAAAGGCATTATTGAGGGCTGGGACGAAGAACGAAGTGTTCAGCGCAGAGTATGTATTTCTTTTACTTGTCTAAGGTTAGAGCTGACCACGCCAAATAGTTGACAGACGTCTCAGAGCATCCCCCCGTCACGTTAAATCAGAGCACTCGTAGTAAACCACAAGGATCTACTCTACCGGATGAGGACCTCATTGATCCCCGGGAAATCGACCGATTGTGCTCAGAAACGGCTGGCATGGCGGGCCGTTGGAATCTTTTCAAGAAGTTTCTTTCGGAGAGCCTCAAAGTAAGATTTGTTTCTCTTTTTTTTTAGTTTCTTACCTTTCGTAGGACGACAATGTTGATGAGGATGACGACAAAACACCCGAACAGGTAGAATCGCCCGAGCTTGTTGCTCTCCAGAGTACAGCGTCTCAAACGTTGTTCGAAGACCTCCTTCGTTCACGCTACATTCCATTCGAAGTCTGGTACACACGAACTACAATTGATAAGGTCAGATCTTGCTTTGAAAGGAATCAACTGACTTGATTATGTTAGGCTCATCGACTTTCGAGTCCTGATACCTCCCAGTCACCTGTGACGACCACGACCCCCGACGACGTGTTTTATATCCTCAAAACGGTCGTTTCTCGGCTGTTGTCGACGGGGTCCTTGAATGCTGTCGAGAAAATGTTTCAGCAGCTGCGCGATATTCTTGAGAAAGACTATGTGGGCGTCATCAAGAAGAAGCTCGAGGATGTGTATCGGACATCCGGGCCGACTGGGCCGAATGCCCAAAAGCAAGAACGCGACAATCGTACTGCATTTATTGTGTGTTGCCTATGTCTTCTTTGGCTGACTTAATGGGATTTTGTTCCAGATCCTGCTCAACGACCTCGATCTCTCAGTGTCGCATTTGGAGCGGTTGACTCGAGATGTGATGACGAGCCCCACCATCACGCAGCATTTCCTTGTAACTCAGCAAACCACGGTCAAGGAGCACATCACTGTATTTGCGAATATATCTGCAAAGATCCGATCCGCGCTTCGAGTGAGTGGACTGTACTATTCTCTACATACCGCTAAACTTGGTCAGTCTGGCATCGAGCAACTGTTCAACCAACTTCTGCGGCCCAAATTACGGACTTTGACGACCGAGGTGTACAAGGACGTGTCTTATGTGCTGGACGAAGACGCGTACGCGGCGGCAGAGTATCAAGATGTTGTGCGGAAACGGTTCGTCAAAGCTTGGGAAAGCCTTGTTGACGGGTACAAGGTATTAGTTTGGGGGTATTTGTCAATGGAAGATGGCCAATTTTTCAACAGGATAATTTCACTGACTCAAACTACCGACTTTTCTTTGGTCTCGCGCTAGATGTCGTGTTGCGCCCTTGGGAGAAATTCATGATGGGGCTTCGGTTCACTGAGGTAATGTCTTTTCAATCAAGCACAGACAATGTTTGACTCAGAATCTCCAGCTGGGTGCCATCCGATTCGACAGAGACCTCCGGGCTATAACTACCTACCTCTCGTCGCAGACGGCGTTTGGCGATGCGAGAGAAAAGTTCTTGCGGCTGCAACAATTCTCAACCATCATCAATCTTGATGCCGTAAGCAGAACCACCAGTTCTGGACGATAAGCTGATTATGCGAACGCAGGACGAGGATGTGGACGAGTTTTACAATGGATCGGGTATTACATGGAAGCTGAGTGCCCAAGAGGCTCGGGCGGTTGCAGCTTTAAAATTATGATAAATTAAATATCAACCGCGCCGCAAAGCGTCTAATCTTGCTTGGAGGGCGTCTTCGTCAGTGTCCCCTCCAACAGGTCCACCACCACCGCCACTGTCACCACCTTTGGGCCCTGATGACCCAACTGCTTCGCCCAGCGCAACTGGTTGTCTATTTGCCAGTTGTGCTGTAGTTGACCCCAGGCCTGTTGGTGCCTCAGTGAGCTGAAAGAGTGATTAAGCATCTCCATGACAGTCGAAATGGTTTGAACGCACTTGTTGCGACAAATCCACGCCTATCTCATCCAACACTTGTTTGAGAATCTTGTCCCCTTCTAGTTCCTCGTCTTCTTCGTCGTCCATAACATCGTCCACTGCATCTGACATCATCTCCTCCTTCATGTCCATCATGGAGCTCTCTTTCTCGAATTCGGTCATGATACGCTGGATAGCAGGGAGGTTTAAGCCCCGATTCATGGATGCCATAGCCTATAAGCGTTATTGGCATTGAACCAGATTCGTGGGTTTGCCTACCCGAGTCGCGCCACGCATTGCTTCCGCCATTTGCTGGTTACTGCGGAGGGTTTGTATGCGCAGCCCAACAGCCTGGAGTTGGGTCCTCATCTGGTAGAATTTCTGGACATAACGCCGTGTGCGAACGAGGTCTTTGGCCATGATCTTGCACGCGTTGAGTTGGCCATCTTTGGCGGCCCGTTTGATGTCTGCCACTAACTTCTTCTCGCTGGCCTCGAGTTTCGTTCTTTCTCGGTCCAGTTCACGCTGCGCTTTGGCTATGGAGCGTTGGTGTTGGCGAAGACGTTCCGCGGGTGTGACAGTTCTGCCAAACAGTGTTTCCTAGAAGACAATGAGCGATGAATCAGCGACATCCAGATACTTGCGATAATGTTCATGGGTGAAAGTGGCAAGACTGCGCTGAAAGCAGGTCGATCCGGTGTGACAAGATTATCTTCCTTCCGTGGTCACACTCACGACCGCCGAACTTGCCCGTTTCTCTTCCCAACCACCATCATGTCTGGGATCCCTGCAACTGGTCGGTAGCCGTCTCCTTTGCACCTTGGATGTCCTCTGACTCAATCAGAATACCCTTCTTGGACAAAGCTTCAGCAGATATATGACGCTGAGCACTCGCGGCTTATTCTCCGCGATCTGTTTGCCCAGGACCCAGACCGCTTCTCCAAGTTCTCCAAAGAGTATACGTCCACCTCTGGTCCAGATGTAACTTTCCTCCTCGACTACTCGAAGAACCTGATCACCCAACCCATCCTCGACACACTTCTGTCGCTTGCCCGCGAAGCCCAAGTCGAGTCTTTCCGCAACAAAATGTTTGCTGGAGAACACATCAACACATCAGAAGACCGCGCCGTCCTCCACATTGCGCTGCGTAATTTCAACGACTTTTCCATTTCCGAGGCGGGCACGGACGAGGTGGCCAAGGTCCTGGAACATATGAAGGTTTTCTCAAATGCGGTCCGGAGCGGCGAATGGAAGGGTTATACCGGTAAAACTATCGACACGATTGTCAACATCGGTATTGGCGGTTCCGATTTGGGGCCGGTCATGGTCACAGAAGCACTCAAGGCGTACTCCAAACGCGACCTCACCGCGCACTTTGTCTCAAATATCGATGGAACTCACCTTGCAGAGACCGTTAAGCTTTGCAACCCGGAAACAACCCTCTTTATCATCGCCAGCAAGACGTTTACAACTCAGGAAACTATCACCAACGCCGAGAGCGCACGGGACTGGTTCCTCGCTACCGCAAAAGACAAGGCCCACGTTGCTAAACACTTTGTTGCCCTGAGCACAAATACCGCCGCTGTTACCGCATTTGGAATCGCCGAAGAAAACATGTTCCAGTTCTGGGATTGGGTTGGCGGTCGTTACAGTCTTTGGAGTGCGATTGGCTTGTCGATTGCACTGGTGATCGGATTCGATAACTTTGAACAACTGCTGAAAGGCGCTCATGCGATGGATCAACACTTCCTTAACACACCACTCGAAAACAATCTACCGGTTCTGCTAGCTGTTATCGGGATTTGGTATAACGACTTCTATGGTGCCCAGACACACGTGCTCCTGCCCTACGACCAGTACTTGCACAAATTTGCGGACTACTTCCAGCAAGGCGACATGGAGTCTAACGGGAAGACGGTCACGAAAGGCGGCCAACGTGTAACCTACCAGACCGGGGCAAGTAGCGTCACATTTTCCGGTGTTTGTGCTTTCTCACCGGTTCCCAGCCCATCATTTGGGGTGCAGCAGGCACCAATGGCCAACACTCCTTTTACCAACTCATCCACCAGGGCACCAAGATCATTCCCGCTGACTTCCTTGCGCCAGCAACGACACACAACCCCATCGCGCAGTCTAAGCACCACCGCATCCTGTTGTCCAACTTCTTCGCCCAGCCAGAGGCACTGGCGTTTGGCAAGACGGAGGAGGAAGTCCGCAAGGAGCTGGGCCCTGGCCAGTCAGAGGCGCTCTATAAGAGTAAAGTCTTTGAAGGCAACAAGCCGAGCAACAGTTTAATGTTCCCCAAACTGACCCCCGCAACGCTTGGTGCGCTGATTGCGCTGTACGAACACAAGATCTTCGTCCAAGGTGTTGTGTGGGGTATCAATTCGTTCGACCAGATGGGTGTCGAACTGGGTAAAGTGCTGGCGAAGAATATTTTGGCCCAGCTCGGTGCGCCTGCGGACGTTAAAGGCCACGACAGCTCGGTATGTCCCCTTTACAAATACATGCTGAGCAGCTCTGAACCTAATTTCATAGACGACTGGCCTGATCCACTACTACCAGAAGCATCGCCAGGAATGAGTGGAACGTGGCTAACAAATTGAAATGTACTTAGACGATACATAGACGTTGTACTTGTACCAAGACGAAAGATAAAATCAGGGTATGACGTCAGGTAGATCTTAGCGTGATGGGATGCTGTCAACATCCGCGTCTTAATCTTCAACTGCTTAGAGCCTGCCAAATGCCGCTCCTCGTCCTCTATAACCCAGTGAGCGGTAGTGGCTCTGCCAAGGTCTCCTTCACATTCCTCCCGCCCTACCTTGCCCTCATTGCGATCTCTGCAGGCTTTCTTTGAGGACCATGTCCTTCCGCTACTAAAGAAGAATGACGTCGGTGTTGATATCGTTGCGAGTACGGAGCGCGCAGACCATGCAGGCGAGATACTCGTAAAATTCATGGAGGCGCATGAAGGTGCATGGGGAAATTACTTAGCTTTCGATCTCTGCTTACTTACCACGAACATCAGGCGAAATCTCGGTAGTGCTGGGGTCTGGAGACGGCACGCTGAACGAGTGCATGACTGCGCTGTCCAAAGCGCCGTTCATCGGCAAGCGGGCTACTTCGGGGTCACATCGTGTCTCGTTTGCGCTGGTCCCGTGTGGGACGGCGAATGCGCTCTACTCGACGCTCTTTCCGCCTCAGCCAGAGCAGCCGGAAGTAGACTATCGTCTTCAGTCTGTCAATGCCTTGATAAACAGATCGAAAACGGTTCCTCTTCATCTGGCAATTTCCACTCTTTCCTCAGCCCCGTTCCGCCGCAAACGACCAGAAGGTAAATATACCCCTGTTAGTGGACGCCTTCATCTGACCCGCTGCAGTTAGGGTTTCTGCCGTCGTTGTCTCCACGTGCTTGCACGCCGCCATCTTGAAGGACTCGGAAAAGCTACGGGCCGAGATGCCCGGGGTCGAGCGGTTTAAAGCAAGTACCCATTCAAGCTTCATCAAAACACAAAAATGAAGTGATCCATCCAGGTGGCTGCAGAGCAGAATGCCAATACATGGTCCAACAGCGCTGTGAAACTACTCCCGGCGCCGAATGCGGGCGTCGTCCAGATATACGATCCCGTCACCAAAGCTTTCATCGCCCATCCCGAGTCAGATCCGGACGAAGACGCAATTGTCGATATGGATGGGCCATTCTCGTATTTCCTGGCGACGGTGAATGTCGGTCAGTGATTCGAAAAAGTTCTTGTGGTTTTCTTGTGCTTAGCTTGTTCTAGATCGGTTGGAGCCTAATTTTGTTATTACGCCTCTCGCTTCCAAGTTTCCCTCAACAGAAGCAACTTGCGATATAGTCATAGTGCGGCCGCTGCGCTCTCCAGCAGTGGAATCCGACACGCCAGATGCACGAGCCGCATTTGTTCCTATTTTGTGGAAGACATTCGGTGAAGCTTACAGGGGAGGCGGACATGTCGATCTGACTTACGATGAGGAGGGTGCTCCGACTGCGACTGGAGATGGCGAAACAGTTGTCGAATATATTCGATGCGGAGGTGAAGCCATAAAGGAGAAGTGTCTGCGGAAGCTGATTTTTTGCTCAGGGTTTGAATGGATCCCAGATCCTGAAGACGAGTCTGCTCACTACCTCTGCACTGATGGCATCATATCCAAGATCGAGTCTGATGGTCGGCTTGTTTGCACAGCGGCCTCTCCAGACGCAAACGGTGGATTCAGGGTTTATGTTTGAATTACAATAGCTTTCCTACCGCCTCTTTCGCTCTCGCGTGGACTGTCTCGACGGCGGGGCTGCTGTCGATCTGGAGTAACTTTAGTTGATGATCACATTCAAGATAACCCATACCTCAATTACGCGGCCCAGTTGCTCGTAGTGTTTGATAACGGGCATCGTAGTCTCCTTATAAGTGTCTAACCGGGGTGTAAGTTTTGACCCTGAAATTGAGAGGGAGGGACGTGCTGAATCGCTTCTTGATACTCTCTGCATTATCGTCTTCGCGGCCACTTGTTTTACCGCGTTCGAGAAGACGTGAAAGCATCACCTCCTCAGTTGTGGAGAAGAAGAGCACGGCCGATGCCATGCAAACCTCAGAAAGTATTAACAGGAGAGGGAAAACTGTAGCAGTTGCCCACCTCGTCATCGAACTTTAGGGCCTGGTCCATTTTACGAGGGAAACCGTCAACAAGGAAGCGGCCCCGCCCCTCTTTCCATCCATCGCCCGCCCGGCCCTCTTTCAACGCAGCGCTCATCGCGTTCTCCAATAGCTTTATGGTGACTTCCATGGGAACGATGGTGCCCTCTTTAATGCATGTTTGAATCAATTGACCGAATTCCGAGCCTTCACGGTGTTGTTCCGCACGCAGCAAGTCGCCGGCTACCAATCAACGTTGTTGGTTCCAGTGGTTGTTTGAATCGGGACGGAACTGACCAGAGAGATGGCAGAAGCCGAAATCGTCTACGAGATAGGCGCATTGGGTGCCTTTCCCTGAGGGCCGATGAAATCAGAGGGTAGCAACGCTGGACGGAGGGAAACCACCTGCGCCGGGCCCTCCTAGCACGAAAACGACGGTAACCTTGCTATGGTCGAACACGGGGGAGGCCATTCTTGCGGGGGTCTTGCTCTCTGGTTTTGAGGACGTATGCAAAGGCACCAAACGATACGAGGGCGAGGAATGCGAATGCGAAAGGGTTCGGATTCCGTCGTGGCTGTTGGTTCATGCACTAAATCGGCTGATTTTGGAGGGAAAGTCCCAGATCAGCACGAAATGACACGTATCACGCGACGTGACATATGCCATCCTTGTTCTCTCGCGTCCTCATCTGCTGAAATGTCGACAACGCACTCTACAGAGCTCGGGGCCGATATCTATGTGCTTCGTGCTTCCCTAGAAGACTCCACCAATCTTATTGCTGTTGGAACAGAGCACTCCGTAGAAGTTTTCACCGTAGAGGACAACAGCTTTACACCAGTCGCGTCATTTCATATCGGCCAGCGCGTCACTGCGCTTGGATTCTCCCCTAAAACAGTGTCTCCTTCTCGCAGTCAAGATTGGTTTATCGAGTAGGCGCTTTCCTCATCAAAGTCTACCACTGCTGATGTTTTGGCAGGATCGTCGCTGCGAGTGCCAATTTCGGCTTACATCTCCTCACTAAAAGTAGTCATGCCTCAAACGAACATATTTTCGCCTTTGGAGGTGGTCTGAGTGGAGTAAGTCTTGTTTGATTGAGAATTACCTGTGTCCCAACCAGCTCCTTATAGCACCACGGCTGCGTGAACGATATATCATTTTGCGGTGGATTCGGAGATGATGCTGCTCGTTATGTAGCGACAGTTTCAGCAGACGCTCTTATGTTGATCTGGGACCTCTATCCAACCTCCACTCCTTCCTCGCCTTCTTCCGCTGACCTGTCGCTGTCCCCACCACCCCGGGCCCAACCTACTGCTTATACGATCTCCTTTCCGCACGAGCTGCGCTCAGTATGCTCTCATCCATCTAGCTCGAAAGAATTTCTAGTTGCGGATGCTCGTGGCTCTATATTCCTCACTGACTGGCGGTCGGACCCAGAGGAAACCGGCACTGATGGGTGGCGGCTGTTTGAGCTCGTCGACCCTTACGCATTAGCTGCATCGATATCTGCGCCGGTTGGTGGTTGCGCGTCCTGGAAAAAAGACAACGTGGACATGTAGATCGTATTTCTCGTTTGGGTTGAACATCTTGTCTGACCTGTTGCAAGTGTCGGCGCCGTCTTCGGGTCGCGGTTCTCTGTATGGGACATTTCAAGACTTCAAGGTGGGAAGCCCTTGATTGGGAATGTCTGTCTTGAAGGCGCAGATCGTTTCCGGTAGGTGGTTTTTTTCAAGTTGTGGTACGTCACGTGTTAACCAAACCTTGAGGTGGTCCCCTACTTTACCGGCCTTTGCCATTTCCAGTCGCTCGCCCACCAAAGGCGCTACGCTAAACATCCACCAACTGACCCATGCTTCGTCTCCCACTACGATCGTCCTTGCTCCAAGACCACATTTCGTCAGGGACTTTGATTGGATTTTCTTGCGAACTCCTCGAATCGCGGCTGCAGTGGGGCGAAGGATTATGATTCTCCGTGTAGAAATTGATACATGACGAACAACTGGATTATCCAAAAGAGTAGTACACTAGCAGTACAAAAAAGCGACAGCGAAAAGGTCAAACAAATGTGGCAGGGTCAATAGTGGATTGGATGCATATAATGGTTGCCGCCCTGGGGATGACCCCCGCGCGAGTGGTCTGACTGAGAGTCGCCAAAACCCTTTTAGAAACGTAAGCAACTCAACATAGATTAGAGTTTCAAATCACCCACCAGCTCGACAAACATGCTTCGCCAATAGTGTGCATCCAATTCAGAGGCGTGGTTGATTGACGGGACATAGTTTGTCTCCGCATGGGATGAATAGGCAGCGGCGTGTCGAGGAGCGGTCTCGCCCTGATACTGCTCGTGCGTGGGAGAGACGGAGGAGTATTGATATGACTGGGGTTGGTCATGGGTGGGTGAAATTTGTTGCTGGTTGTATAGGACTGGTTGAGTTTGAACAGCTGAACAATACGAATCAGTTTTCGAAGGTGGAGATAGACTATTTTGTTACCTGACAGTCGGGGATCAAGCGGCATTCCGTTGAATCGGTCCGGTTCTGACTGTCGGGCCTTGAAGATATCGTTCGTCAACAAACTCCGTAGGAAACGTGCATGGTAGGCAGCCGAAGTTGATGTTGGGGATAGCATTGAGGCATCGTAGAAAGCGTCAGCAGTCTTGGAAATAAGGGAGTTGATGTCATGCGCGGCGCCTTCGTGAAGTTGGGCAAGGGTGTTCGAGCTACGCAGCAGCTACTTGGAGTATCAGGGTCTGATCAACAGAAGAAAGCTTCTTTTACCTTGAGAAGAAACACTGCAGAATATGCAGACATCACAGTGACCGAGTCTTGGCTATATCGCTGTCTACACATTAGCGGCAATGACCACATTCACGACGGAAAGAAACGCACAAGCATGCTCATAGAAGGAAAGTCTTTGGAAACGATCTTCAGACTATCCATCGCACTCGTGCAACAAGCCGATAATGCTTGTAAGCTCGGACTAGCTCGGCTGGACTACAAGAAGATTAGGTTTGTTGGGTGGACCGGTGTAGTGAGAGAAACTGACAGGCGACATGGACTCTTGAATACCAAAGCTGTTGAGAAAGAGGCGAACATGTAGACCGAAATAACTGAGGACCGAGAAATGGAATGATTCCCCGCCGGCTGATGCTGTTTATCAGCTTCATGGAGAACGGCACGAAATAGAACTGACCCCGCTGCATCTCCGCCTGCCAAGTGTCCGACCACTGGGTGAGTTTTCCGTTGCAGTTGCGGAGAACGACCTCGTAGTTGACATCATTATGGCTCCCATTCGGAACCCCGCCTTTTGTGTAGAACATATCTGTGGTTTCTGACTGGACCAAGGTTTAAACTCGAGTCAATGGTGTGGTAGCACACTCACCGAAATGCGGCGAAGCTGGACGAAAGCGGCGACAATGACATCCTCTGGCCGAAGAGTCGCTCCCCCATTCTCATGCCAGGTGGCAGCATGACGAACGAGCTCATCTTCGGGGAGCATCCAAGATCTGCCGGTCTGAGTGCTTAAACTAGTAAAGATGGTTCAAATCAATATATATAAGTGATGGCTCGCCTTTATTACTCACCTTCGGTCGTGTATGAAGAGCACAAGATAAGTCCTTTCGCGGTTCCTTCGTTCAAGGCGCTGGAGTTCGGTTTCGTTCGGCGGAGGGGTTGAACAATAGCGATTGAGTCCCAGTTCAATTGCCATGCGGCTGGCCTATGTGATCAGATGAGAAGAAGAAGTTTGGTAAAAAGGAACACCAACATAACCGATGTAGGTCCAGGTGCGCTATAGAAAGATAAGTCAAACCTAGTGTCGCATGGATTTTGACTTGCGTTGTCGTCTGGGTCCCTCCAATACGTTAAGCAAGCAAAAGCTTGGACTACTTCCACCCGCTTCCAGGCCTCAGCGAAGGCGCGAACAGCAAGCTGTTATGTACTTCAGTTGACGTGACTTGTAGGCGAGGGACAAACATCGTGTGCGAGTTTTTGACATGATTTGTAGAGTTCAGGTCTGAAGAATTTGGTGGCTGCGGCGATTAGCGTCTGAATACGGATGATGAGTCTTGATATCGAAGTAGCGAACCGACAATACCGTGAAAAGTAGTGGACATCGAGCGCGGACTCGTTGTGGGGTATGTAGAGTAACATCGAACAGGTTGATGAAGGGGTTTAACCTTGGTGCAATGAGTTTCAAACTCGGCGCAAGTGCGGGAGACATTACCGTAGGAATAACAGGTCGAACTTAAGTCTCGTTAGCTAAAGAATTGGTACAAGGGTGATTAAGCACACCAGAATGGCTGCAAGTTCGTCGTCCACTATACCAGCACTGATTGCATCCAGTGGAGCCCCGCTCGTAGGCGAATTCAACGGACGCGAGGGGGATGGATTAGGGTCCGCCGGATTAAGGATTGTGCGAAAGAAAGAGTTGCGTTGGTTTTCTTTGCCAATGAGTTTTGCGGGGAAAAGAGCGCGATTTTCTGGGTCTGGGTCGTCCTCGTCTTCATCCATCTCCCGACCAGACTGCTCTGGTATCTCGTTTGGGGACGCAGACGCGTGTGGTTGTTCAGCCACGTGTGACTTGAGCTTCGCGCTGTTGAGGCCCTTTTCGAGGCGACGTAGCATTTTAGATGCCTCGGAGAGTCTGCACTGGGTCGAATTTGGGAATGATGAGAGAAAAGTTATGCCCACTTTGACCCCGGTTTTCTACCGCGACGATGTTTTTCAAAGACACACTCAACCTTGGCGCGTTGGCAGCGTTGACACTGCTTTTGACCATCCTCTGCACCGACGCATTTCATCTGGTAGTCAAGGGTGAGGCAACTAGAATGAACGGCGGGTAATTGTGTGTGACCTTTGCCTGCCGACAGACAGTGCAGGCACGCGCCCCCCGAACAACCATAGGTTTAGAACTAGACTAATGTTAGCCTTTATGAGACTGAGAAAAAAGAGGAAACTACCTGTCATCCTCCATGGAATTGGACGTCGACTGTGAGGGCAGACGGAAGTCTGAGCCAACCACGACTTATCTAGACCTCTTCAGTCGCGACCTGATCGGATTTGTCAGATGTTGCCGAGTTTGGGACCAAAAAAATTGACCCCGAATCAGGTGACGGCAACTCACTTCACTTCAACTCTCGAGTCGCGTCGGTGTTGCTCCAATGGTCAGAATAATCATCAAGGGCGGCGTCTGGAAGGTGCGTATACAATGACGAGCTAATTTCTTGCCACTCAAACTCCGGCTAGAACACCGAAGACGAGGTCCTCAAAGCTGCCATTGCGAAGTATGGCAAGAACCAGTGGGCGAGAATTTCATCTCTTCTCGTGCGCAAAACACCCAAGCAATGCAAAGCCCGCTGGTATGAATGGCTCGATCCGTCCATAAAGAAGACGGAGTGGTCCAAAACCGAGGACGAAAAGCTACTCCACCTCGCAAAGCTCATGCCAACTCAATGGCGGACCATTGCTCCCATAGTTGGCCGGACTGCGACACAATGTCTTGAGCGCTACCAGAAGCTGCTTGATGAGGCGGAAGCGAAGGATAACGAGGAGCTTGGTTTGGCTGGGACAAACGACAGTGGTCCAAGTGCTGATGACGTTCGTCGTTTGCGGCCGGGTGAAATCGACCCAGACCCAGAAACCAAACCTGCGCGGCCAGACCCGATAGATATGGACGAAGACGAGAAGGAAATGTTGTCTGAGGCTCGCGCTCGTCTTGCCAACACTCAAGGCAAAAAGGCCAAACGCAAAGCTCGTGAACGTCAACTGGAGGAGGCACGACGACTGGCTGTTCTACAAAAGAAGCGGGAGCTCAAAGCGGCAGGCATCATGTGAGTTTGAACAATTCTGCTCCCCCCAACATGCTGACATGTGTGAAGAATGCGGAGCAAGACGAAAAGGAAAGGCATGGATGTGCGTAATACAAGCAGTCTCCCCTTTTCCTATCTAATCACGTTTTTCAGTACAATACCGACATTCCCTTCGAGAAAAAACCAGCAGCCGGGTTTTACGACACCTCGGACGAACAAGCGCGCATTGCCGCTGCTCCAGTCGGCCGTTCATTGCGCCGTCTCGAAAACAAGCGTAAACAAGGAGACGAAGAAGATGCTGAGCGGAAAAAACGTCAAAAGAGGGACGGAAAAGGCGCTGATAGCTCTTCTGGGAATCAGACCAAGTTTATCGCGGCTCGGGACGCCCAAATACAAAAACTCAAAGAGGCAGAGTCAATTGGCAGGAGGAGGAAGCTGGTTTTACCCACTGCGCAAGTAGGTGAGGCGGAGTTGGAAGATATTGTCAAAATCGGACATGCTGGCGAAAGTGCCAAGACATTGGTGGAGGGCGGTAGTGATGCTAGTGGGCAACTCCTGGGCGAGTATCCGGGCCTGGAAAATGCGCGCATGGCGCGTACCCCACGTACAGCTCCTCAGGGTGCGTTTTTATTTCTGATCCTCTACGAGAAACTGACAACATGAAAGAGGACAACATTTTAAACGAGGCTCGGAACCTTCGAAACATGTCAATTGCTCAGACTCCTCTACTTGGTGAAGAGAACACTCCGCTCCATGCCAATCCTGGAGGCGGTACCGGATTCGAAAGTGCTACTCCACGCCATAATGTAGCATTCACACCTAACCCACTCGCAACACCACTACGTGCCGATGGCATGGATGGCTCAGCAACTCCTGGTGGGCTAACGACCCCGATGAGGACTCCCATCCGCGACAATTTGGCTATCAACGCAGAATCCTTCTCGTCAGTTTCAGCCACGCCTCGCGATCAGCGTCTTCGAACAAATTCCGCTAAACGAGCGCTTCAAGCCGGGTTTAAAAATCTTCCGACACCCGAGAACAATTTTGAGCTGCTTGTTCCAGACGATGAAGAAGAATCGGCTGGTACCGGGGTCGGTCTTTCAGAAGAGGACGCGGCGGAAAGAGATGCAAGAGCAGCCCGCTTGAGAGAGGAGGCTGAACGTAAGGCGTTGGCTCGACGCTCACAAGTTGTTCAAAGAGGCTTGCCACGGCCAGCCAATGTTGATGTCGAAACATTGTTGCAACGACTCCAAGTTGATGAAGACGCTTCGCCCGCTCAAGCATTAATTAACCAAGAGATTGTTGACTTGCTCCAGCACGACGCTATATCGCACCCACTACCTGGGACCACTCAGGTTGGAGGGACACGCTCAATGTATGTCATGCCTGAGGACGACGATGTGGAAACGGCGAAAGGCTTGATCCATCTCGAATTGGCGTCTGCTGTAGGGTTTACGAATGTCAGCCCTGAGCAGTTACATCAAGGCTTGCTGGCGTTATCGAAGAACGACACAGTGGAAGAAGGAGTTTCGTGGGGGAACGTTCGGCAAACACTCACTTTTGATGCGGCTCGAAAGATATGGGTAGAACCAGAAACACTCTCACCAGACGCTCGCCGAGACGGCTATGCTGCCGTTCTAGACAGTCATCGCGAGCGGATGGGAAAGGAGGCAGCAAAGGCCGCCAAATCAGAGAAGAAGTTGGGGGTTGTGCTCGGGGGCTATCTGTCCCGCTCTCAAACTCTTTCGAAACGACTTGGCGACGCATTTGGAGAACTTCAACACACATTGATTGAATACGAGAGTTTTTCACGGCTAAGGATGAACGAGTCGGCGGTTGGGCCACGTCGTTTGGAAGTGCTAAAAGAAGAGGTTGACAAACTGGAACAAAGAGAGCGGAGATTGCAGGAGAGGTACGGGGAATTGGAAGCAGAAAGACGTGATGCGGAAGAACGCGTCCGAGTGGCGGAAGAGCGTATGATGGATGATGCAGAGGCTCTTAACGAAGCTCAACTTGCCACGATGGAGGAGTAAAAAACTCCTGTTTGTTTGTATTTTAGGGCAATCGATTCACGCCTCGAGGTCGAGGCGTGGTCCCCTTTGTAGCTTTCATTGGCTGACATTCTTTGTCTGTCAGAGATATAAAAAGAGGGTCTGCTTTCGCGTGGCTGGCTACGGTCGCATATGCCCGCTATCGACTCCAATTCTGTCCCTCTCCCTGCCTTAGTGGGTGGGCTTTGCGGAGGCATCGCCATCGCTCTTGTGTTCATTGCGGGTTGGTGTTTATATGGTAGAAGGAGAACCAAAGTTGTTTCACGCGCCGTAAGTAGCGGCCTTGAAATCACAGGCTTGCCTTACAAGAAACAGCCCGACATCTCAGAGGTTGCATCACCCACAATCCTGAAAGCGAAATCACAAGTACTGCTTCCAGCGAGACCAACGAGAGTTCAATTTGCAGACCAACTCCTTCATCCAGCCAGGCATCTAAGGGCCGCTACAAGGTTGGTTGGGGTGCCTCGACTGCCATCAACAGTCAGCTCGGTATCTGTGTACTCGACGGAAAGCGGGGAAGCATGGGCCCGGGTATGAATTTGTGGACTATTACTGTAAAGACTTGATGTGTTGCTGGCGGAGATGATATAATTGTAGGACGATGAAGTAGAACGGACGAACCTGCTCTAATTGCGATACTGATGTTTTGAACAATGATACTTGCTGCCAACAGTCGAGGGGAGTAGTTGTGTTATTTCTGGGAGGGAAAGGTCAGCGAGAAGAATAGCGTAATGGATGACAACACACTTGTAGCAAGCGACGAGTTTGTCTCTGGCCTCTTGAACGATGGGATATTGGGCGAGATCTTTACGGGCGTGGAAACGGTCGACCTTTGCACGAACTTCGTCCAGGTCGACCAAAAGAGAGGCAGACGATGCGACCGAGTCTGGATCATTGGCCAACGCCCTTTCTCGGTCAAGATTTTCTTTTTCCAGAGCCGCCTCGATTTGCTCCCGGACCTTCTTTTCCTCAGCCCGAAGTTGCTCTAATTCGGCCTGAATACGGGCTTGGATCTGGGCATCTAACGAGTTTTGGCGGGCGGGAGAGGGGTTTGGAGAGAGTGCATTGTCTGCCAAGGCATTAAGGAGGTTTTGGTCGAATTCGACGGGGGCAACGGGTTGAGAGTGGGATGAACCCATATGGCGCGTTATGTCACATCCCGTGTCACACCCTCATTGTTTGCTATGAACCACCTCCGCAACTCGACATTCGGGAAGCGTTTGCGTGCAGCCCAACAACAGGAAGAAGAAAATCCGACTCCAGAATCAGACGACACACGAGAATATGGCGACCGCTTCATTCCAACCCGCGACCGAGGAGACATGAGGACTTCTTACAACCTCAAGGACGATTCAACACCATCAACGCCATCGAAAAAGTCGAGAATTATCCCTTCAGAGTCGGATGCACTCAAAGGTTTGAATTGCCACCCCACCCCGAAACCTTGTTGATGTTTTTACAGAGCAAGCGAATGCCTTGTTCAACTCGATATTACACACAGAAGTGACTCCCGCGGACCCACCCTCCCCTCCTCGCCCACCGCCACCAATCGCTGCCGCACCTTCTACACCAACTCGACGCCGTCTATTTGTCTACAATTCCCCTTCCGCTTCAGCACCATCAACCCCAACACGACGACTCGATACCACAGCCGATTCTGCTTACTCAATGAGCCCAGTTCGTGCCGAAAGTAGACAGCTTCTGGAGAGCCCTCGGCGTCAACTGAGACCCGTTTGCAAGACACCATATCGCGTTCTCGATGCCCCAGAATTGGCTGAAGACTTCTACCTCAACCTTGTGGATTGGTCGAGTACAAATGTTTTGGGGGTTGGTCTCGGAAGCTGTGTGTATCTCTGGACAGCCCACAATGCCGCCGTTAACCGACTATGCGATCTTTCCGACACCAACGATTCGATAAGCTCCGTATCATGGGTTCAAAAGGTGCGTCAATTTGTTTTTCTCGACAGTGTTTTTTATTCTCATTCGTCGTCAGGGCTCAACACTGGCTGTTGGTACGCTTTCTGGGCGACTACATGTCTACGATGCGAATCGAATAACATTACTACGCACCTATACCCAAGCTCACACACAACGTATCGGAGCCATCGCTTGGAATGCCCATGTTTTGTCTTCTGGCTCGCGTGATAGGATAATACACCATCGTGACGTTCGCGAGTCGGCTACTCGTCCATTCAAGCGTTCAGCAGGCCACCGTCAAGAAGTCTGTGGTCTGAAATGGAGTGGGGATGGTGGTGTCGGGGCCGCTAATCTTGCTAGCGGAGGCAACGACAACAAAGTATGCATATGGGATCTTCGTGGCTCGAAGCGGAGCAATAGTGCTTCCCGGGCAACAACCGTACCAGAGCCAGACGATGGAGACACGCCTCTCTGGAAATTTCATGAACACACTGCCGCCGTTAAAGCTCTTGCTTGGGACCCCCACATATCTGGTGTGCTTGCAACTGGTGGGGGCACTCAAGACAAGCACATTCGATTTTGGAACACCATCAGTGGGGCAATGTTGAATGAGCTCGACACCGGTAGCCAAGTTGGTTTCCCTTTTTTAATTGCTGTCCGTTGGAACTTATGAGTGTTAGGTGTGCAACTTGATATGGTCCTTGACCTCCCACGAACTCGTATCAACCCACGGATTCTCATCAACAACAGCGCAGAACCAGATATGCATTTGGAAGTATCCAACACTCAACATGGTCGCGTCACTCACCGGCCACACCAACCGAGTGTTGTACCTTGCCATGAGTCCTGATGGGGAGACCATCGTCACAGGTGCTGGAGACGAAACTTTGCGGTTCTGGAATGCGTTTCCGAAGCGCGAGGTTGGAGAGAGGGGAGGAGACAGCCGGTTGGATTACGCACGATTAATTCGATAGTCACATTTTTGTCACACACATCCTTTTCCTTCGATTTTATCTTCCATGGCTGCTCTCGATCCAGAGGATGTCCCGACCATGCAACGAGCGGTCCGGCAAAGTCGGAGTCCCTTTTACTTTTTCTCTGGCGTACTGAATTGGGTATCTAGTTGAGTTCTACTTTGCGGACAGCAATCTCCCCTACGACAAGTAGGTGGTTGGTTGGTTTGATCTTGTATGGCTATTCAACCTCACAAGGTTTATGTGGACCCTGCATTCGAAAACCCCCGAGCATTGGGTATCGCTTGCGACCGTCGCATCGTTCAAAAGAATGAGGGAATTCACGCCCCTTGGAGTTGAGTGGGTCGCCCGGGCACTTCGTGAACAGAGCACACAACTGGAAGTTGATGCTGATGGCACCAATGTGCGCCGCAAAACGGAAGTGCAGGAGCCCAAAGACCAGTTCGAGCGCAGTGTCTACGCTGTTGGTGGCCTCTTTTGACTCGGATTCCAGTTCTCACAATTTCATGCAGAAAGGGTTCCCGGAAGAAAATGACACCCTCCAGGCACGTCTAGAGGCATTTTTTGAGCAATATGGGCCCACGAACGCAGTTCGCATGCGGCGAGATCAAGATAAAAAATTCAAAGTATGAGTTATCCGCTGTCACTTGTAGTCGGAGCTAAATACGTAGGACAGCTGTCCGTTTTTGCAGAGTTCTCTTCCATGGACACCTGTACCGCGTTTCTTTCCGCTGACCCGCCCCCAACCTTCGAAGGCACTCCCCTGCTCGTCATGTCCAAGGAGGCCTACTGCCAGATGAAGATTAAAGAGAAGGGCTTGACAGGCAAGGCAGCCGACAGTCGCCGAAATCTTTACACCCCTGGCCGGAAATTCGACGCGTTCCGTGACGCCGCCTCGAAAATGGATGTGGACACAAAACCGGCCGCGGAAACGGCCACAGCCCCGCAGCAAGTTTTCCTTGAGTTTATGGGGTCGACGATTGCGATCCACCGCAACGAGGAGGGCGTGGGGGCGGTCAACGATGCGGATGTGCCGTTTGTCAAAGGCGCTACGCTGCGGTTTGACGGGGCTGAGGAGGGCGGAAAAGTCATGTTTACTGACATCAAGGTGCTTTTATTGAATCATATCTCACTTGATCTAATCTCGGGTAAAGCTGCCGCTGAAGGAAAAGTTCGGTCGACCACCGTTCATCAAATACACGACCGGAGCGTCGTTTGGTCTTGTTGGGTTCCACAAGGCGTTGACTGAGGACGATATCAAGTTCGTCAAGGAGGCGATACCGAAACTGGGCAACAACGAGATTACTTGGACAGTCGCGGGAGGTTTGTGCTTGACTTTGGTCTGTGTAAGCATTTGTTGGCTAACTCGCGATTTAGAGGAAGAAGAAAAGGAGTTCCAATTGGAGCGAGCGCAGAGTGCAGCCCGGATGGCGTGGGAGCAGGCTAGTGGGATGGGAAAAGAAAAAGGTGGCCGAGGTGGCCGGGGCGGGAGGGGAGGGGGTCGCGGCGGGAGGGACAGTGGAGGCAGGGGAGGGCGAGGTCGTGGTCGTGGCCGAGGTGGCCGAAGGGAAGGTGGCCGAGATGCCCGTCCTGCTGAAGACGTCCGCGCAACAGAAAACACCGGCGCAGAAGACGCGCCAACAGGGGAGAAGAGAAAACGGGCAGTTGAACCGGATGGCGGCCCGGATGTCGGCGTTCGTGGGAAGGCTGCCCCGCCCACCATTGCCAGCGTAAAAAAAGCAAAGACGGAAGAGTAAAGAGAGGACAATGACTGACTGACGCCCCAAAAGCAGAATGTATACTGAAATCTTGTCTTGCCTTGTATACTTATTACCTTTGTTGTTCATCAAAGCATTGAATTTGTTGTCTTGCAACGGTTCGACCTGCCGCCTGAGTTAGAGACAATATGGTCCCTGCAAATTTTTAAGTGTGAGTTCAGTAGGGATGCGATGAAGAACATCTGATTCAAACCCTTGTGCGAGCGAGTAATATGGCATAACACGGAGCTAAAGAGTTTACCAGGCTGCTCAAGTGCATCTCTTTAGCTTTTGATACTCTGGTGCTCAACAGATATAGCCAAGGCAATGGATATGGAATTGTGGTTGGTCTTGGTGTTGCCTTTGCTATAATTATGGGTCCTGTTCACTTTGACTCAGCGGTTATCCTACTGACAATTTCCCAGTGCCAGCTGTATTATTAATAATATGCGTAAAACCACAGACTGGAGGATTCCCTGCCAGCGCGAGGCGAGGCTAGTGGGATACAGGTGCCAGTGATAGCAGTTCAGATTCACATAAGACCACCGGAAGGCAAAGGATTAGGGCTAAGATGGGCTGTAGCTAGTTGTGCTGGTGTACACAGCAGCCTGGTACTGGCCGCCGATATTCCTCGACATGCGTACGCGTGGCCAGCGCGAAGCGCTGGCAGTGGAAGACAGGTGCCAGTGATCGCAGTTCATATAGGACCAGTGGAAAGCAAAGGAATTATGCTGATGAGGTACTGGCATATATACAGCATGCGCGCGGCCAGCGCGAAGCGCTGGCGTTGGTGCTGACATTGGCAGTCAGTATGAAACCAGTTTTGATTCCTTGGTACATTGTGAAAATTGCCTTTTTGGGACACGAGAGGTCTTTGATTTCTAGGACTTGAGAGTAGCGGACGGCGAAGTATAGCCGCATAGATTGAAGATCTTCATAGTGTAAAAAAGTAAGACCGAAGAGAGAGAGAGGGGCGCTAGCGCGAAGCGCTGGCGAGGATAACAAGAACAAAACAAGGGAACACATTGATCAACAAAAGTGCTCACTCTGAGGGTCGAACTCAGGACCCTTGCATCTCAGGTTTCCACATAAGTACAATGCACTACCACTGTGCTAAGCGAGTCCTTGGAACTGAGAAGAAGAAAAATAACAGAGGGAAAGGAGAAGGCAAGAGTACGAGAAGACACTTACCATCACTCCTCATGTCTTCATCATCACATGACTAACGGGGACCGGCACCCAGCTTAATAGAGGTAAAGAATTCATTAGTATGTACATAAATGGACTATAACTTTTTCTACATTTGTATTACCCATTTCTGAGATTTCAAGTACTTCAAGCTAAACTCTTTCTGCTTCTGATAGATCTGAAGTGGTAATCTGATAAACCGAATTTCCTGTGTCCATCCCCCAGAATTCCTCAAGAGTGCCTTTCCTTGCTTTGCGTTGTGGACCTGTTGCTGATACCACGATTCACAATTACGTGTCCAGTATCCAATATTCAAACCACATGTTGAGAATGCACCAGGTAAGGGCCACCACGACACAAACTTGGCTTGGTGCTTTCCGGTTATGCGATCTTGTTGCTCTACAAACACAAGTCAATATGTTGTAGTTGTCAAGTAAAATAGAAAACAAACCCATTTCGATCCAATATGTTCCACAAATCAGGTCTTCTTCTTCCGGTGTTAGGCAATGGTAGTACAGAGCATTATCACTATCTGGAAGACAGATTCGTGCATCTGCAGACTGGATATCAACACCATCAGACATCACCATCGATTCGGGATATTCGAATATCTGACGCGCAATGCGGGCAATGATCCCACCTCGGTAGAGTGCAAGCATACCACGAGGGGAACGTAGAAAGTCGTTGCGTCGGTGTTCATAATGATCGAATTCAACTGGATGAGGCCGATAGTCTTCCTCGAGAAACCCAAACTCTGCACGAATGGGCGAGGAGGGTACCAGTATCGTGGAGCGTATCCTTCAACAGCAAGGTGAAATTGTACTCCGAGCTCCACCAAACAACCAATGATATCCTCGATGTCATTTGAACCAGTTCGCAAGACAAAGGTCACGATCGCAGGATCAAAAACAACGATTTTGTGAATGCTCTTAGACCCTTGCTCGTACGGTTCGAGAACAAAAACATCTTGCTCATATCTCGGGCAATCAGTTTGTCGTATATACTTGACATTGATTCCACGTCCGGGCCAGACATCGGAGTCGGGATTGCGAAGGTCGTACAATGATTCGGGAACATCTTGCAATGACTTGGCCTTTAGAAGGGCATATAAGAGAGCCCTGGCATTGTCTTTTGGAGGTTTGGCGGTGTCATCTCCAAGAGCCTTGAGAGACTTGTTCACGTCAAGCAAATCTCCGATAGCTGTGGATGACTCTATCAGACCAAACCAGGGAAGAAGCGGTCGGTGATCATTGACTGGTGCCCCGGGAAATTCTTCCTGCTCCCGGATTTCATCATCGTACTCGGGTATGTCTTCTCTATGTCCACCATTCTTGCTGTAATACTCGGTAATATTCTCGAAAGCTTTTGCTGGCTCTGCAAAGATATCACGGATATGCTGAGAAAGCTTGGGAAGGGGAGGAAGGCTTTGTCTTTCAGCTGGCTTCAGAGCAGTAGTGGGGGGGAAGAAGACGCTATGGTTCGGGTCATTGGGGTCATCTTCAAGCTCGTCTAGATAGCGAGGGGAAACTTCAGTCGGAGCCAAAGGCTCACATAGATCCCACTCCTGTCGGAATCCATCGTATCGACGTTGGTTGGGATGGAAATCGTACCAGATCTCACTCGCTTCGCCACGAGTTAGAGGTTTACGAATAAAGAATTTATCATCGTCCGTGTCTTCCCATACAAACACCTGGCCCTTCTTGGGAGGGTCTCTTGCCTTCAATGCAGCCTTCTCACGATCAATTCGGCTCTGTATTGCCTTGGAGTTTTTGGCGTTTTTCTGCTGAGACGCTAAAGTCCGCTGGTTCTCCTTCTCTCTACGAGCGAAAAACTCGATGTAGGTTTCATCAGGCTTTTGTCCGCTCCCTGGGATAACCGGTGGATGTGAGCGGGTGACAACTGGGCCCTTGTAGTCCCAATTGCGAAAGACCCCATGAATACGAATATTTGGGTTAACATACACCCATTCCATGAACGAGCTCTTCTGAACGTGCTCAAGATCCGTCTTGTCAATGTACAAATGCAACGATTTGATTGGAGCCGACAGTAGAAACAATTGGAGTGTCGACGGTGAGAAGGAAATAAACAGCGGTACACGAATTCAGACGATCTAAGCGATAGAGTACAGGGTACACTATCGCGCATTATATACGCGGGCCCGCAAAGGGGGTGATCGGACACCCTGGCCCCTCCTCCTCCTCCTCACTCCCGTTCCTGGCCGCAGAGGGGACGATCGCACATCCCTTGCGGGCCAGGCGCTACTCCTGACCTCCTAGCACTCCTCCCCATTCCCCTGGTGTCGAGTTGGGCTCGGGCGACGGCTCGACGCGTCGTTCTCGGTCACGTGCTTCCCACGTGTGCGTTCCTCCTACTGGGGCGCATGTTCCCCGTCGTCACGTGCTGCGTGTTACGGGCCCGCAATGGCCCGACACCAGCGCCGGAGCGGACGGGCCGGGTCTTATCCGTGACAATATGAGGGTCTCGCTGCTTGTGATGGTGTAACCGAGACAGAGTATCGCACCTTCTGTGGCAACATGTTTTACACCCAGCTGACAACAGACGTCGCGAGGTCATATCGTGGGGGTGGGCAGTCCGAGGGTTTAGCAAGCCAATCCCCAGCAACCGGTCTGCCGAGATTCAAGCTCACTGGGCAAGTTATGCTACTCTGTCGTTCTATACTAACTCGTTCTCAGTATCAGGCCTTCAAGCCTATCTTTGACACGAATGATGACCGTCAAGATGCTATTGCCGAATACCCAGAAGAGCTTGACGAGGAGGAGGAGCAGAATTTGGACAAGTTGGAGTTTACGATGCGTCTTGACAAGGTTCATCAGTTATCTTGTTCCATACAAGCTCACAATGTTCAGATTATTCAAGAGGCTGATCAACGCTCTGCAACATCCCAGCTCATTGATAGCATACTTAGCACCATGGCTGCCATTGAATTCGCCACTGAATACAACAAATGTGGAGACGACGAGAAAGACGCTATCGCCCGCATACGCTTTTGTCGGGACCCCGAGTTCGCAGTGCACTTTACCGATATCATAGACGACTCCGATGCTTGCTCGGCACAGATTGACGAGCTCTGGTATGGCGACTATCTTAGATGGAAGGATCGCAAGCATGGTAAGGAAACGACAGCTCGGAATCGGCTGTTGGAGGCGTATCATTTTGTAAGTGGCCTCTGCCTGTAGTATCTACTCTAATATCCTAATAGCTTGGCCCACATATTCTGCTCAATCCAAACTTCTCGCCTGACCGTCTGCGACCAACACGTACATCACCAACTTATCCAACACTGGTTGCGAAGATTGTTGCAAGTGCGCCAACTACTCCACGTCAAGGGTATGTTGTCAACAGAGCGGCTGCGCTGGGGATAGTGCGAGCGTTGAGTGAGGGACTGGAGGACAAGCTGCGTGTTTTTATGAAGCGTGTACCGACTAAGGTAGGAGGAGGACAGTAGAATAGCAATTGTGTCTGTACTGTGTACGCCATTCAACTGGCTTTATTGATATCTGAGTCAGCCCCTATCGACCACCGGTGTCCGTTGCTCAGATACTGCTAAGCGAGCATTTGTTAGTCTATCACAGGCTAAGTATTAGTTTGGAAAAGATTGCCCATCCTTGCAATACTTATGAGGAGGAGAGAATATAAAATGCTGAGAGGAGAAGGGCAAGACATGAGGAGCTTCTCGTACTCTCCCTCATCACATGACTAACGGGGACCGGCACCCAGCTTAATAGAGGCAATGACTTTAACCCCGGACAACGTGATCGGCATGGGCGAAACCTCAGCCATCTCTTGGCTTA